ACCCCATCTCTCCTTTGATTCTATTCCCACTGCTCCCAGGGTTTCAGGAGAACTGATCCATCCACAAATGGATTATTACTATAGCCCACCAAAAAGCAACGACGAAAATATCCACCCAGGGAAGCAATTCTTCCTCCCTTACGGACACACTTGAGTATCTGTATATTGAGAAAAATGTCTCCCTCCTTTAATTCCTGAAATTCTACCCGCTACGTGGCCGTGACTGGGTTGCTGAGCTTCTGACTGGGGTCAGGACCACGTCTCTTTGGTAACACAGGGTCAGGGCGGTGCAGGCCCTTCTATGTGCTGCAGCTCCAAATTGACAGTTAAGCAAAATATTCCGTTTTCTTTGCCAGCTGGAGCAAGCCCTTGTTTTCAGCTCATTTGCTATTCAGCAGACCATGGACTTTTCTAGGAACATCAGCAGATGCCGATCACGAGGGGCTGCATGACAGAAAGTGGGAGAACGCTTGGGGGTTAAAGAACATTCCTTATTCTCCCCCTCCCTGGGGAACGCTGCTCCCTGCTACAGCAGATCCAAGCCTTTTTAGTCCATGACCCACCGAAAAAGTACAAGTTTTAGCTGCCATTCCCACAGGAACCATGCAAGAATGTTGGGTTGTTGGTTTGGTTGTTTTTTTTTTTTTCCCCTCCAAGTTGCGAGATGAAGGGATAAATCTGTAAGTGCTGCTTTGTAAAATAAGAACTATATGAGGGTTTGCTAATTCTTTTCACATGGGCCACCGAGGAGCCAGTATGTGGTAAATCACATTCAGCTGTGGGTGCTCCCCCTCCCCAGCCTGTGGCCGGGCTTTGGACCGGTGCCCTGGAGATGAAACGCTGGTGCACATGCCTTGAGCCATCGGATGTTGGGTCCTTCTTCTTCCCCTGCCTTCCCCACCTCCATCCACAACTCCCAGTTCAGGAAAGGGGAAGCTTAATAGGAGCGGTTTGTTCCAATGCCAAGTAATAGGCACTTAATCCGTGAATAAATAAAGAGGGTTTGTGCGAGGTGAGATCCATTTCGGAGGGTGAGGCAGCTCCAGCTCCAGCACTGGTGGTTGTCCCCTGTGTGGTGCCTCTTGGCATGAGAATAGATACGTGGAAATAGATAGTTCTTGTGTCATCTTGGGTCCAGTGTGACTCCTGGGCTGGCACCAGGGCCAACTGTCCTCCTAAATGTGGTGAGTGCAGCAGAGGTAACCCGTTACAAATAGTGCTGGAAGTAACGTTTCACATTAACAGCGCTGGGAGTAATCCATAGAAGAGAGAAAGTATTTATTTTTGAGCTAAATCTTGCCCTGGGGAGCGTAGCCATGTGGTGTGCATTACACGGCAGCCCCACTTCAAACTGAACACTTCAGCAATCAGGACTGAAAAGAACAAAGCAAAGCTGAGGGGGTTTAACAAGGCAGGGGTGTTGTGCTGAGCGAGTGATCCAATCCTTTATGTTCTCTGGAGTCTCCAGTTGACCACTGTAGGTTTTATGGTTTGGATTTTTATTTTTCTTTTCATTCCCTTCTCGCAGCGGCTTTTTCCTGTGACATTAATTGCAGGCAGAGATCTCAGGATACACATCCCTGACTGTTTGCTTAGAAAATCAGAGCTCCCTACCAATGATATCCAGGTCCTGGTGGCTGCTGTTAACAGCACAAAGACAAAGCGGAGTCAGTTCTGTCCCCTGCCTCCCTTTCCTGCTCCCCGTTACACCAGATGGATTCCCTCAAAGTGTAATGTGTTCCATTGCTTTTAGACACTGTGCAGAAACCAAAGCCAGGAATGTTTTTTCTGTCCAAATATAGTCAGGATGACAGTTCCCCGCCTGTCGTCCAAACCAAATATCTGCACTCGACAACCCGAGACCTCTAAAATTCATCAGAACTCCAAAGTCACAGCAGCATCTCTTCTCTGCGCTCGTATAAAAGCCGCCGTTCAGGGGCTCAGGCAGAAAAAGGCACTGAGAATATTTTCAGCTGTTGGAAAAGAGGGAGATAAAACTTTAAAGTTCTGACTAAGTTCTTGCCCTTGGCACAGGCCAATGCTGGCTCCCAGAAAGGAGTCTGGGGAATTCTCCAAAGTGTCTGAAAGTGGCTTAAATTCTGACAAGTGCTGCAGATTTGAGGGCGCTGGTGGCTGCATTTGAGAGCCCTTATAGCACGCGTATCGCTTGGGAAAGCTGTGATGTTCTTAACCCAGGGCAGGGAACATGGATGAAATGTCAACAGATGTGCACTCTGGTCCTAATAATCCTTAAAATATCTACAGAAGAGAGCCGTGCTTGAAATTGAACCACCACAGTATTAAGGAACTAAGTGTAAACCTGAAATTTTGCTTTTTACCAGCAGCAGTGGTGAGGATTCTGACCAGAGGTTGTGCACCAAGGGATCCAGGTGCACGGTGACTTTATCAGAAGCATCATTAGCATGTGTAGCATTAGGTTCATGCATCTCCTTTAGCTCCACTGGTCTCATCTCTAAGTTCTGAATACCTCATCTGACTCTCATGGCCACAATAACTGAGGTTTGTCTTGGCCTTACTGCTGAGCTGGTTTCTGAGCAAATATTTGGCTTCAATTTTGAGTTTTGAAAGTGTTCTGCAGCCAGTGGTCTGAGAGAGCTGGATTCAGGCACGGAATTTCCATGCGGATGGGCACGGTGCATTCCCAGCATATGTTGGGGGAGCCAACGACATGCTTTCCAAGAAACCCTTCTCGCTCTCTGCTGATCCATCAAGGTGTAACCTGGTCGCTTACCTGGGCAGGGAAGCGGGACCCTCAATGTCAGAGAGGCCACAAATCATCTCTGCAGCTAAAGATGCCCATTCACCCAGCACAGGCAGCACAAGAAGATAAATGGCTGAATTACAGTATGGTCTCTGTCCCACTCAGAACACTCCAGTAACTCATGGAAAAAGCCTTGGCTGTGCTAGCCTTTGGTAGCTGCATGAATAAGCATTTGGAAACAATGAGGTCCTCGATAATATGCTTTTACTAAAGCTCTAGGTACTAAATTTTGGGGGTGGTGTCTGAGCTGAGGTGTATTTTACAAAAACCTTGACTCTCTTTACATTGAGACAAAATTCTTAGTTCCTTCAGGTGAAGTGGTTCTGCGGGTTCTCAATTTGTGCCTTAACCTCAGGTTCGTGTAGTCATCTTCAGAAACAGGAAGGCTCTAATGGGGGGCTTCAAAGCTTCCAGGTCCCTGCTCCTTCTGTGCTTGGCCTCAGGCAAGTCTTTCCTCCTGCACCACACGGCCTCAACCTGGAAAGTGAGGGCCTCAACCTGGAAAGTGAGGGCCTCAACCTGGAAAGTGAGGGCCTTCACCTCTAAAGTGAGTGTTTTAACCTGTAACGTGCGGATAACAGCCTGGCCCTGCCTTCGGAACCGCCGTGAGATGAAGCTCCGTGAGCGCCTGTGAGACGCTGAGATGCCCTGGCGAGAGCAGAGGGCCTGTGTAACACTGCCCTCTGAAGAAGTTGGAATCTTTTTCAAACACTGCTGACTCTGTGAAAGGCGGATGCGTTTGACGCTGTTACTCAGTTCTGTGACTGAAACTCAATGTTCTTCCAGCGCTGGGTTTGCTGGCAGTGTTTTTCTTTCGAGCCGGTATCGCTTTACTGGAGAAGACCTCTTGGCTGAAGTTTTAGAGCCCCGTTCCAAGGCAGGTTTTTACTTCAAGACTCCCTTCTCGGTCAGTCTTTCTGCAGATGTGTTTTCATCTGCTGACTGACAGTAACTCATCCAGAGGACTTGAGATGTGGTAGGTTTAGGAGTGTGTGGTTTCCAGTTCCTCACTTCACACCATGGTCTGCAGGTTAAACCACAGATGGAGGTGGGTTCCCACCACTCCCTAGAGCTCTGAGCAATGCACTTTCTCAGAGTTTTCACACACAAAGATGTTTCTTTCTGCCAACTCTGCTGCAGGGGAAGAGGTGTAGCTATCCCTAGAAAGGCATAGCTGAGCTGAGCCCATCTCTCAGACTGCTGCCCCTGACTGCTTTGGTCCAGAGGAGTGAGAGCCTTGGGCCCCTGCTTTCTGCTCTTTCTCCTCCTCCCAGTTCCAGCTTTCCTTGGTAATTCTATCCAGAACTTTCTTCCATGATACTCCTTATTCTGTCCTTCTCCTGATACCTGAACAACTGCTGCATTTTGTCCACTCTCCACCCAAAGCGTTATTTTTTTTCTCCAGGGGGAGCTTGGTGAAAATTGAAAAAGAAAATATTCATGAAATTGTAGACAGACTCATTGGTCATAGTTATTGTGACTTGTTTCCCAGCCAGCTTTACTCTGCAAATACATGAAACTTACAAAATGTCACAAGCTTGATTATGAACCAGGGGAAAAAAATTCAAATGAAACAATTTTTCATTCTTTAAAGTGCAGTAAGTTTCTGAAACCTTTCAAATGTTTCAGATATCCCCTAGGAATGTTTTATATTGGCTGGCAACAGAACTACCCCCTCCCTGCTGTTGCCTTGTGAAACGAGGAGGTTGCCCAGTTCCTTTTCCTCTGTCTGGTCGGAATTCTTTAGCTGAGGACATCCCAGAGCAGGAGCAGTGAGTGTCCAGTCCTCAGTGACCAGGCAGAAAAGCAGAGCTATTTCTGAAAACATGAGATTTTCTGAGTAAGCTTTTTAAAAAGTCCTGAATTGACTTCATGTCAGCAGCCTGGAGGTGCCTTAAAGATCTGAACAGCTGAAGACAAACCGACCACTTCTCCAAGTCAGTCATTCTGAGGTCCTCAAGCTGAGGTACCCAAAATCAGTATGATTCTGAAAATACTTCTCTTTCTCAGCACCATCACCCCTTACTGGGGAGCTCCCAAGGACACAAGCAGTTTGCAGGTCACTTGCCAAGTTTCGTGGGAGAGGGAGCTGATGTTTACTTTTATCTGAGTTTGTAAACTCCCTGAGCAGAACTTCCTGAGTGGAGAAGCCCTCCCTGCTCTCTCACAGCATCTCAGTTTTCATCCTGCTCCTGCAGGCAGCCCCTGACAAATGACAGCTCTTCCAGCCATCAGCATCCCCTAATGAAACATTCCAGGGGCGTGATGCTGGCTCCTGGAATCCTTTTTCTTGCCCCCTCCCCTGATTTGTTTTCATGACGTAGAGCTGGCAACTGCAGATTTGTCCTCTCTTGATTATATACAGTTAAAGAAAAGGGTTCCTGTCCATCCCAGCTTGTTTCACTTTGCTGCTTTTCCTCCTCCAGCCCGACTTCCAGCTGCAGTAACACGATACACTTGGCAGAGGCCGAGAGAATCTTTGGCACATTGGAAAGAGGCTTAATGTAAAGTCTACATTTTTTTTATTTTTTTTTTTTTAATTTTTATTTAGGGCTTTTTGAAACTCTAGTGATTCTGCACAGCTCTGGCAGTCACTGCAGGGCTGCTCACAAACGCTCCAAACACAACTGTGAGCAAAAGGATTAGCGGTGCCTTCTGTGAAGAGGATGGTTTAGTATCTGTCACATCTCCCTCTAAAAAAATATTAACGATGGACGTGGATCGAGTGGAACAACTTTCTGAAGACAGAAGGAAGAGCCTCCTCTCAGCTGACAAGAGAAAGAGCAATGGCTGGAGAACTGTTGTGGGATTTTTGTGTGTATTCCCCGTGGCGGCTTTGCTGGCGGTTGTGGGGGATCCAGCTGGAGCTGCAGTTCAGAAGAGCCAGGTAGGGGAAAGGAGGTGATTCTCAAATGCTTGGAGGGGGGAGTGGGGACATCAAATATTTGTGCATGTCTATTCGTTTGAGAAGGTGGATAAATTGATACAGCAATCTAAACAATTTGTAACTAACTGTTAAGGCAACAAGATCTGTTTGAGTCCCTTTTTACAAAGGATCCTAAAAGGTAATTATGCGTCCAGTAGAATCAGCTCATTAGAGGTGTGTGTGCAGCTTGTAGACGACCCAAGAGGGAATGCATAAAAGATTTGGGTGGTTTTCCCTCGGAGCTTTGGGCTATTCTTCCCAGCCTGGTGTGATGTGGCAGGAGTATATTCTGGTTTCTGTAGCAGCTGAGCTTTCCTGGGAATTCCAGAGTCAATCTGGAATTCAGTCAGTACTCAGACAATCAGTCTGTGCAAGATCTAAACTGGGAGTTAACCCTGGACCTACAGAAACAATCAGCTGATAATAATTCTCTTTTTTCTTAGGGTCCCTCCATTAACAAGCTGTGCTGGGATGGACTGGTGAGGGGGAGCTGTAGTAGGGCTCTGGGAGTCTCAGAAGCTGATCTTAATTTTTGCTTTTATAGCTTAATTTTATAAAAACCCCATCTTCTCCAAGTGCTGGCATCCTCTCCTGCTGTTTGTGTTTACAAAGATCCAGGCAATAGCTTAACCCCTTGTTTGCCTGATGTGCTGAGTTCAAAGTGTGAGCTGAGCAGGAAGGAAGACAAAAAGACTGTCCTTCTAGGAAAGAAAGATGCTGAGATTAGAAGACACTAGAAGCTATTTTGGTCCACAGATGGAGCAAAGGAGACCGGTTTCCTATTAGAACTGAGTCCCTCACCTTTACCAGTCAGGGCTGGCTGTAGTCAGGAGGAGAAGCTGGTGATTTGGGCAGTATCTGGCAGCTGTCGCCAGGGAGATGGTATTTTGACTCTCGGAGCCTCAGCTCTTTCATAAGTAAAATTAAAGACAGCACTTGCTTTCTGTAGAGTGTGCTGTGAGGCTGAACAAACTCCTGCTGGTGCCGCCATAAACGTCACTTGGTGATTGTCTTGATGCCTCTGGAGCAAAGATGATCCAATAATATTCAGTGTCTTAGTCCTGAAAAGGGGAGGCAGAGTGGGTAGAATTCTAGTGCAGTGTATTGGATCCCATTCTTTCACCTCCATTGCTCAAGGACTAAAAGGCTTTTATAATTTGGGTCAGACCTGTCACCAGATTTGATGTGTTTTACTGTATGATGGCATTAAATGTGCCAGTGCTCATTTTCCAGTGCTCCTATTTACTTTGAAGGCATTTCAGATTTTCAGATCCAGGATGCAGCTTTATAAAGAGCTCTCTGCACAAAGGGATGCCTGTTTTACTCATTTGTGCAGCATTTCATTTCTTCTGTGGTGAGGCTGGAGAGCAAGAGCAAAGCGAAAAGGAAATGAAAACTTTCCAGGAAGAGCTGCAGCACTCACTGGGGCCAGAAACCTGCTGAGGCCTCATTTCTCCATCTGTGCCACGCTCCAGGAGGGGAGCAGAGAGGCTGCAGTGCCCTACTCTGGAATTACGCAGCAGCTCAAGGGAGCCTGCAGCACTCCAGCCTTGAGGAATGCTGCTCCCTTCCTTTCCTGGCACATCTGAGCTATGGCATGTCCCAACAGCCCCTCACTTTCTAGCCCCTCTTTGCCTCTGCCTTGCTTTTGTTCAGCACACTCACAACATTCATACTCTGCAAAGCCCTGACCCACTGATGCACGAGTCTTGTCTCCTGGGCACCCAGGATGGAGTACCAGTGGTGCTCCCCAGCTTCCAGCAGTTTTTATTTTCCACTGTTCAATCCTCCAGTCTCTCCCGTCTCTTTCAACCTCCTATTTTTTTTTCTTTTTTTTAAGGAAGATGCCACATCACCTGGTCTCCATGGAGGGAGCTCCTCTGCTTTGCCCAGTCCAGCTTTCCCACCTCGGCCCCCAGCGCGGAGAAGACGATACACCATCACACCAGGGCACTTGAAATGGGACCACTTCAACTTGACATACAAGTATGGACTTGCACTGGCTGTAAGAGTTGGCATTTTCTAAGTGACACGGGGGTCTGAGTCTTTCCTGCTGTGGATATAGATACTAACCATATCAATATTGCTGATCCATCGCTAGTGAATGGGCAGCTGCTAAAGCCACTCTAAAATAGGAAGTATTTCTACAAATGCAGCTCAGGTGAAGCATCGTCGCTGCTTCAGAAGCTGGTAGCCCTTATGGCTGCTGCCTGTAGTAAAACTGATGGGCAGCTGCTAAAGCCACTCTAAAATAGGAAGTATTTCTACAAATGCAGCTCAGGTGAAGCATCGTCGCTGCATTAGGAGCTGGTAGCCCCTATGGCTGCTGCCTGCTGATCAGGGGCAGGTTCAGGCTGCCCAGAATGAGGGACTTCCCTCAGAAGGTAGGGAATTGAATACTACCTCTGTCACCCTGGTGTTTTGAAGAGAGCTCCCTGTGAACCTAAACCATCACCGAGAGCAACCGCTGTTGAAAGGTTCTGTGGTTTCAGGAGGACCCGAGAGCAACCGCTGTTGAAAGGTTCTGTGATTTCAGGAGGGCTGTGTTGGTGCTGAGTGCCTTGAGGAGTCTCTTTCTCCCTGTTGTCCTCAGGAAAGGATGCCAGCTCTTAGATGACTAAATAACATACAATGAAAAGCCCTTGGCAATTCTAGGGTGAGTGGATGTTAACCCTAATATTATCAGACATTTCTGCCAAGGCCTAGTGGCTGCCCAGATGACTGATTTCCAACTGGGTTCCCCACTGCTCAGGACCAGCAGCGTTTCAGCAGCACCACAGAGCTGTGGAGTGGTTGGGTTTTGATATGATGGAGCAGTATCAGTCCTGTTTGGCATTTAGCCTGGGAGCTGCTCTCTCCCTTCCTTTAGCAGTGGCTGAACAGCCCTTAAAACTGTCCAGTGTGATCCTGAAAAGATGCTTTTTCTCTCTGGGAAAATATTCATGGCATTGTTGAGCGGTTTTCAGGAGAATTTGCATGAGTTCAGGCAGAAAAAGGTTCAGGGAATCCCCTTGGAAACAGTTTCCTGAGACAAGCACTGACATGTACCCTCAGACTGTCTCAGCAAATCTCAGAGTGAAGAAAGAAAAGCCTGTTGTTCACTCCTGGCTGAGAGTCTGCACCTTCCTGGAGACACAGGAGCCAAATTTCGTTTTTTTTCAACATGTTATGTGATTACAAAGGTCCTTCTCATGTGGCTGCTGACTCCAGCCACTCCTGGCTTTAAAGTGCAGAGCAAGCCCCAAACCTGACCTCTCAAGAGCGCTGCAGTCACGGTGTCTTAAACCACAGTGGCTGGGTTTCTGAAAACGTTTAAAAGTGGCCTCTGGCAGCAGCAACGTGTGTTGGAGCCTTTTCTTGGGGTGAGGACATCATGATGGAGCTGTGAGGGTCTCTCTCCCACTCTGGCTCTGGAAAGCTGGCCAGACTGTGGCTGTAACGGGTGGTAGAGCTTTCTGTCCCCAGTAAAGGGGAGAGGAAAAGATTCTGAGCTGCTTGCAGTGGGGTGGGCAGGTGGTCAGCAGCAGTTGTGTTCCTCTGAGAGTTCCTCTCAGTTGTGTTCCTCTGTTCCTCTAAGCCCTTTCTTCTCCCCAGGGGCAGGAGGGGAGAGTATCTCAAGGATAAGAGCATCTCAGGAAGATCATTTGTGAGGTGTGGCTGATGCTGCAGTCCCCTCTGGTCTCTAGGGAGCTGTTACACCCCACTTACACCAGAGTCTCACCACGACTGTCACTGGCTGTACTCTCTGTGTGCGGTGGTGGGTACGGGGTGACCGCCCGGTGGACAGCAGGGGGTGGTTCTACCCCTAAGCCCAGATGAAGAATGAGAGGGTGGCACGAACCTGGCCCCTTCACACGGAGCAGAGAACATCTCCCTCCCCTTACGCCCATCCCAAACAGGCAAAGCCTTGTGACAGTCTTAATTGTCCAGGTGTACACTGATTAACAGCCTGGCTTGATACGAAACCTTCTGCTCCCTTTAGGATGTGCTGGGACGAAGGGAGAACATAAAGAGCGTAGCTAAAACACAGCCAGAGGGGATAGCAGAATATACACAGCTTTTCCCAATTGCTACACTTGAGGCAATTCCCTGAATGCAGATCTTCTTTTGGGACAAGGTAAGTTTCTAGGAGCCATCTCTACGTTTCTGTGGTACGAACAGGGGTCCTGCCATCCCCTCCCAGGAGTTTTCTAACAGCTCAGCTCCATCTCTACCTGTGGCCTCAGGAAAAAAACCTCTCTTGAGCCTCTCTCCCAAGCGATGAGATATTTTTTTCAAAGGAAATAATTTATTTTACTGTCAAGCCTTTGACATTCTTTGGAACTCTCTTTCAAAAGTTCTGCCTGAGAGTATCCTCATTCAGCCTGTGCACACACGTTGTAGCCTGAGTGTTAGGAACTGGTTTCTTCTTCCAGCAGCACCACACAACAGACTGGGAGGTGTTGGGATAAAAATAGTTTTCCAAGAGAACCTTGTCTAAAATGAGGTGCTTGAGGAGGGACAAAAGCTGTAGAACGTGTGATTGTGAAGAATATCAGTAATATATTAGTAATAATCAGTAATATATTAGTAATAATCAGTAATATATGAGTCCCTGTGGGGGCTTTATTAAATATTCTTAATATCCAGTTCAAGCTAGTCCCGTTTTGAACCTACTAGAGCGAATGGAAGGAGACTTGACTGATGCAGCCTTGAGAGCCTTCAGCTCATGTTCGGGAAGGGGAGAGCAGTTTTCCTGACGTTGTTTTGTGTCCCTGCAGGATCCTCTCCTTCCCAAGGAACCTCATAAGTGCCAGGGACACGCGCCGGGGGCTGGCGGCCGCCTTCCGCATGTGGAGTGAGGTTTCACCCTTCAGCTTCAGGGAGGTGCCGCGCCACGTCCCCAGCGACCTCAAAATAGGTAAGAGCACACCAGGAGTTTGGAGACAGGAGAGAGTCTCTTGCCTTTAGTCTGGGAGAAAAACTAGTTTTAGTTGCTCTAAGATGTTAATATCATCATTAACACTTTGTGTGTATCTTGCAGTCGGGAAGCTTTAGGTATTTGACAAGAATTAACCCTCAAAACCTGCCACTGGGATGGGGTTATCTCTATTCAGCAGCTGGGGAAACTGGATATTGAAGGGTGATGTGACATATCCAAAGAGCAGGTGACAGATTCCAGCTTGTTCATGGGTTTAGTCTCTCTCCTTGGTGGTTGAGGCACCATCTTTCCTCTGTCCTCTCTCCTCCCCTTCCCTCTGCCCCGGTGTCACTGCCCAGTCCTTGCTTCCCCAGCTCCTCAGGCCTAGAAGAACGTCAGCGCCGAGGCGTTATCTGCTCAGTCTCAACTCCAGATGCAAATTCTTCCTGGGATTTATGGTCTGTGTGAAATAAGCATTTCCTGTGCAGATGGCAGCAGCACTGAGATAAGCAGCAGATTTACCCTCGTTTCGCAACACGCTCTTTGCTCTCCTGATGCTACAAACAAGCACATGATGCTCCATCCCAGGGGCCTGTCCTGCTGCCACGTGTGGGCTCCCCGTTTCCAGGGGATGTGGTGATGCTGCTGGGATGGAGCAAAAAGACAGCACGCAGCTATGACTAAGGCTCTTTATTTAGGTTTAAAATGGAGCAATGACATCCTGGGGTTACCATCTCACTGTTCAGCTTCTCTCTCTCAGAAAACCAAAGAGTTTCCACGTGATGTTGCTGATTCTTTCTGGAAATAGACTCTTTTGTGTCTTTTTTTTTTTTAAACAGCTGTAGATCTGTGTCACCACGGGCTGAGCATAGTTTGTATCACAGAACCATCATTCCTGACAAGAGCTTTCCATTTATTTTTCCTTTTGTGGCTCTGTAGGTTGGAAACCGTGGGATACCATACCAGTTGTTTTTTTTAGCTCTGTAGGTTGGAAACCGTGGGATACCATACCAGATTTTTTTTTTTTCAGTAAACCACAAGTTTAGAGATGTCCATGTCCTGGACGGGCTTTCCCTGCCAGACACGCTACATCTGCTGCTTTTTTTTGCACAGGCTTCTACTCCATCAATCACACAGACTGCCTGGAGTCACTCATCCACCACTGCTTTGATGGAACAACGGGGGAACTTGCCCACGCCTTCTTCCCACCCAACGGGGAAATCCATTTTGACGACCACGAGTACTGGATTTTGGGGAACACCCGCTTCAGCTGGAAAAAAGGTAACACGGGTCTCAGGGAGCATGTAGTTAGTGCCTGTGGGGTTTAGATTTCAGGTCTTGCTCTGGGATTTAGCGAGTGGGGGAAGGAGAACACAGAAACAGGTGTGATTTGCTGTAGTTTTGGAAGTTGCTGGTTTTGCTGTCAAGTGACTGAACTGCTGTGAGGGACCATGGTTTCATTCTGGATAGCTCAGTGGAATTACTGGATAGCTCAGTGGAATTACTGGAGAGCTCAGCCATACGCTCAGTAGTTACATCTGGCTCCTGCCCAGGCAGGTGCATCCCTAAGAAGGGCCGAGTTATATCACCTCTGCTTGCTGATGGGTTTACATTTCAGTTTTCCTGGGCTTGTAGTCATTTTGGGGAATTTGGGGGCACCTACAAACATCTGTATTACTTAAAGCTTGGTGGTTTTGCTTTCTTGATATTTTTTTTTTTTTAAATAATATCAAAACTTAACTTTAATTTAAAAGCAGATGATCCCTGGCTAACTAGCACATTCAGTTTGCATTATATGACCAACTTGGTACTTTTTTTGAAAGTAAGATATTCTGCCTTTCACTAAATAAAAAGAGAGGAGATTTTAGGTGAGAGAGAGAGGGACACCTCCAATCCTTGTTTTCCAAAGCACAGCAACAGATCAGATCTAGGGACAAAGACCTAGGAGGGATGATTTTTGTTTTAAGAAAAGAAGGGATCAGATTATATTGTGTAAAATACTTAGCTTTGAAAAGGTGCCCTTTCTCCATCCAAGTTGTGAAGCCTGCACAGAGCTGACTCTATCAAATTGCAGTGTGTCAGGGACAGTGAAAATCAGAGCGTTTGTCCAGTAACAAACCTGTGCCTTGAAGTTCCAGAGTTATCAGGGAGCAACATGTTCTCCCAGCCTGTGTTTTTCTGCAGGCAGCTGTTGAAACAAGGGGTGCAAGGAACCCCTCACATGCTTTCTTGGATTTAACACAGGAATGTGAGGTTGTTGTGGCCTGTAATTGTGCAAGCTACCGAGATAGGTGTCGTAATCACAGCTCTTGTGACTCATCCTTCAATTAAAATCCATCTCTGCTGGACACAGGCTTCAAGATGCTACTGAGAAATTCCAGTTTGGCCTGTGGACTGTAGGGGATGCAGGGATCAATTGGAGGCTCTTCCCGACTGGAATATTCCAGCTAATTCCAGTGAGCAATCTCAGTCCCAACAGCCCTTTCCAGCTCAGGGCTGGGGGAGCAGAGTTAGTGGAAAGCTGAGGGAGTAGCACCCAGGGCACGTACCTTCATTGCAAACTCTGCTCTCTGTCCTGCTGCTGGAAATTAGAAGCACATGACAATAATTGGCTCATCTATTTGCAGTTCAGAGAGGATGAAACCGGGGTGATCTTTGATAAGACTTCATCTATTTGCAGTTCAGAGAGGATGAAACTGGGCCGATCTTTGATAAGACTGGTCCCCTCCTAGTTTTACACCAGGAATTAACAATTGTTCTTCCCCACCTGATGCCAGCTGCTTTCCTGTTTCTCTCCCAGGTGTCTGGCTGACGGATCTGGTACACGTGGCAGCTCACGAGATAGGCCATGCCTTGGGCCTCATGCACTCCCTCAACCCCAACGCCCTCATGCACATCAACGCCACCCTGACTGGGAAAAAGACCATCTCCCAGGATGAAGTGTGGGGGATTCACAGGCTTTACGGTGAGGAATTCACAGGCTTTACGGTGAGGAAGGGCAGGGGTTGTGCTCTGGGCTCCCCCTCATAAAGAACTTCTGCCTGAAGTGTCAGTTTGGATCCTGTGGAGCTCTCGGGGTGTTAGACCCTCACCATTTGACAGGCTGAGGCTGTACAGCAGTGAGCAGGAGGTATTTTACTCCTTTTTTTGCCAAGTAGAGCTAAAAGGAGGTGTAGTGCTTTCTGTTTCCAGCACTACCAGCTTCAAAAGTGATAGACAGGAGGCTGGAAATCTTCCAGACATCGTGCTCCCACCTCCCCTTCTCATACAAGAATAAAAGGTTAATTTTAGCTGTGGAGAGCCCTGAGTTACATTTGTACATTTGCAAGCATTAGGCGCACAAAGGGAAAGGCAGAGCTCCCATGGAAAGGCAAGGGGGAAGGCAGCAGTGGTTAATTACTCTTTTGGGTGGACTCAGATTAATACAAGATGACAAAACATTACCTAGTGTAGGACTTAGATGATCTGATTCTACCCCCATCCCTCTAATGCCTTGTCTCCTCCTGTTTCAGGCTGCAAAGACAGATTATTCATGTGCCCGTCCTGGGCACAGAAAGGCTTCTGTGAGAAACGCAGGAAGCTGATGAAAAAGCACTGTCCATCCACCTGTGACTTCTGCTACGGTACCAGCACTGCTCCTGGGGCTCTCGGGGGGGTTTGCACAGAAGGAGGAGGTAAAAATTAATGGGTGTTTGCTGCAGGAGCAGTCAGGATCTTAATCCCTGAGGATGTGAGTGACTGTCCCCATCCAGCTCTAAGGAGAAGCCTAGAGATGGCCTCTTACATATTTGAGCCAAGATAAAGGCTTAGAAATAGGAAGTGACTGTCCCCATCCAGCTCTAAGGAGAAGCAGAACAGAGATGGCCTCTTATACATTTGAGCCAAGATAAAGGCTTGGAAATAGGAAACAGCTTTTTTATGTTTAAACATTTGTGGACTGGAACATTAAACTGTCCCATTCGTCTCTAAACTCAACCAATAATAGGGTGTTTCTGAGAACACAATGCTCCCTGCACTCAGGCTGCTTCCCTTTTGGGCCCAGCTGAGGAAGGGAGATGCTGTTGTGTGAGATTCAGAGACCAGAGCTGCAGCGCGGTTCCTCAGGCAGTGATGGGACATAAACAAGACAAATGACATCTCAGGCACAGCTGGACTTGAGCTGCTCAGCAGAAAAGGAGATAAAGTATGTTAATCACCTTAATCTAGTCACTCAGTTTTATGGATCCAGATCAGGGACTAATGCAGGATCAGGTCCAGTTCCTGCAGCTGTGGATCTAAGCTTTGGATAAATACCTACCAACCCTAAGAAGATGTACTCTACAACTAGTGCCTCTCTCTCCAGTACACAGGTATTTTTTTAGACCAGATTAAGGCAAAGATGCAGTCAGATAATCACAAGCCCATATATTCTAAGAGACTGTTCATACACTGAACATATGCTCTTCCATAGATCTGAAACGGGCAAGTTGATTTTTATCCACCTCTATCAGTTTATTACATGCTACAAAATCGTTACCTTTGCACATGAATGATGTTATTTGTCCATCCTAGAACTGCACAGGAGGAGGCATTTTTAAATTAACACTTCTGAGGCTTCTTAGGTGATAATGTAATTCCGTGAAAGTGTTTTGGAATGGCTAAAGGGTGACAATGAGCTATACTAACTCTGCCATTTCTTTCTCTCACCTCTGGTGGACAGAATTCCCCTTTCCAACAGTCCCCCCTACTCTGCCCCCGCCGAGGACGAAAACCAAGACTGTTTCTGAAGGCAGGAACGTCACCTTCCGCTGTGGACAGAAGATCATCCATAAAAAAGGCAAAGTTTAGTAAGTGCTCTACCATTTATTCCAGTCCCTTAGGAGACTTTGCAGCTCACATACCAAAAAGGACGAGGAAATATGACAGAAAAGCATAAATGAGAAAGCAGTTTATCTTCTGGGACACGTCACGGTCTCATTTGGCCCCCGAGCAGGAAGGGGGGTGGCTGGTTCCCTGTGGAAGGGGAGTGGGAAAATGCTGTTCATAACACTGAAAGCATTTAGTCTGAAAGCAGGGCTATGGGAGATGAGCAAGCTGGGCTGAAAAAGGATAAAATCAATTCACAGATACAACACAAAAGTAATTCTTATCATCAAGTCAAACTCCCTGGCCCATATTCTACCAAAAACTAGTCTTAAATTTGCCCTTTCAATTATTAGTTTGTTAGCTTTGACTATTGTAAAGGAGTGTCATTCCTGGATGTGTCTAAAATTGGGAGATGTGCCCAAGTCCATGGGTTAGTTTAGACTGAGGACCCAAATTCCCATCAACTTTCAATAAGTTCAAGCTCCAAAATGACTGGACAGTGCCCCTTGTAAGTGCCATCCTCTACCTGAAATAGAGTTAACAAATGATGGTTAAGTTTTGAGTCCCATCTGTGGGACACCTCCTCAAGCAAAACTTACCAGGAGAAAGAAGAACCACCACTAACACATATTGAATCGTACTGGACACTTCGTAGTTTAATTTCTATTATTTTTTTTTTCTTATGACAGCTGGTATAAAGATAAGGAGCTTCTGGAATACTCATATCCAGGGTATTTATCCTTAAATGAAGATCACATGAGCATCATTGCAAATGCAATTAATGAAGGAACTTACACTTGTATAGTAAAGAAGAAAGAAAGAATCTTGACTACTTATTCCTGGCGAATCAGACTGAAGCACTAACGAGGGCCCTGGAATAAGCACTTCAATTACTGCTAGTTCTGTTTCAAATTGTTTCTTTGGCATTTTATATTTAATCTCCAGTAGAGCAATGGAACTTCTGAAGCTGCTGCTTCCATACCTTGGCCAAAAGAGACTCTGAGACTTGATTACTGGAATGTAAAACTTTTCCAAATTAGTTTTAATGATAAAGAATTTATCAAATATGTGCTGTACAGAGAATTAAATGGTTTTTTTTATAAAAAAAAAGTGTCAGGTGTTGCGGTTAGACTATGTGGATCGCTATGGACTGCTGAAAAGCATGAACATAACTCATCATCAAACAAAGGGATGAAGAGCCTGATGGTGCAGTGGGGGCAGAAGTACTGGAAGGAAAAGGACCCGTTATACTCTGTAAGTGTTTCACTGTCATTTTTATAGTCCTGGTGCATAGAAGAACTTCTAAAAATGTATAAGACATAATAGTACTTTTACTTGTCAGGAGGAAGGTGTAGGGTCATAACAAATCCTTTCTAATTATTCCATATTTTGACATGTTCAGTTCAAGTATCCACAGAACATTGTTTTCCCCCAACGGCTTTCCTGTGGTTTGTATTTATTTCTCATGTAATCTTATCCCAACAGCCTATTTACCTCTATCAGCAGCTCCTCAGAACTTCTCCTTTCGGTGTCTCATCAATAAACCTCTCGGCTCCTTCAACAGAGATGAGGTAATTTCCACCACTGGCCTCTCCCCGTAGGTAAACGTGCCACATCCAGCAGGAAAACAGCATTTTTTGAGGGGAATCCTCGTGCAGAGTGTTCATTTGCAGAGTTTGGAATCCCTGAGCCAGTGTTACAGCAGCCTGCACTGCTCTTTGCTTAGGCTCATCCTTTTCCAGTTGTCCTCAACCCCTTGAACCAACTTTCTTTCTACTTAAAAGCACCAACAAAATGGCAGAGCATCTCCCACGCTGCAGGATAGGTCAACAGTCCAGGAAGACTGTCAATTAAATCTCAATCAATTAAATTCTCCTCTGTTCTAGGACAGTTTAACTATCACAGTTGAGAGTACAGCATAGTATAAAACTGAAAAACGCATCTTTGCATAGACAATTAAGCTCAGGATCATAAGAGGTAAGCACTGTATGCAGAAATAGACAATTGAGACAAAATACAAGCTGAGATGTAGTAAAAGAACAATGTTACACTCCTTGGAGAGAGCTAGTTCCCTTCTACAAAAAAACCCAAAAAACCAGTTAAATGTATCTCTTATAACCATATTAAATTTCCATTGCAATCCAGCATTAGGGTTTTTTTACTAAAATTATCTTAACTTATATGAATAAACCTTTTTGTCAGGAACACAGCTCTTCCAGCGATGCTCGTACCAGCTGCAGCGATGCCAAGGAAGCTGGGAAGGCAATAACTTCATGGAGTGCACAGCTTGAAATACAAAATACAGTCATTTTCTACTTCTCTAGAGCAAAACAGCTCTCCTTTCTCTGGGGGACGTAGCAAATCCCCGCTTTTCAGTGGGTTATTGATCTCCATCTACGAGAAATCTTGCTAAAATCATGACTACTTCAGATAACAGAGTAGCACCAGAACTGCTTCTCCTGCAGCACAAGCCTAAAGAGAAAATAGTTCTGCATTGCTCCACAGGAAAAAAAAAACCAACCAAAACCAACCCAAACCCACTGTTTTCAAAGTTTACCGCAGTGTTAGTCCATCCAAATTCCAGCTCCAAGCCCTTTACCCAAAGAAACTCTTAAAATGCACTGAAATTGATGGAATGTTTATCATTTCAATTAATCCTTTTGCTGGCCTGGTGCCCAGTTCCATCTGCATGAATACCCTGGTATTTTCCAAATCTTCCTGTTCCCAGAAAAGAATGATGGCAGGAGGGAAATTAGACTTGGAAGGAGCTGATAATTCCAACATGATTCCTCTGGTCTTTCATAGAAGAAAGGATTAGAACATGGCATTATACAATCAGTAAAGATAAGGTTTTTTATGGAAAAAGGGCATATTTCAAAGAACTTTCTATATAAAATAAAGCATCAAGTCTCCATATTAAGTCTTTTTGTTTTATAAAACAATAGAATACTTCTTTTGCACCAGTGCCATTGTAAATACACATATACAACACATCAAACGGTGTTCAGCCCAGTAGTGCACCCCAAAATAGTAAGTATTGAGCCCATCCCTCTCCAAGGCACACAACAACAAAGGAACCTCAGAACTGGTATGGTTTTTTTGCCCTAACTATATTCAGACACATAGAATTTACTCAAAATAGTTGTTTCCCCAGGCTGATGATACGCTGGAATAGTCAACATAGATTTGGGGGCAGTGGGGGAAATAACTTCCCACTCTAGAAGATTTAATGCCACCAACATCCAAGTTTGGTGCCTGTGAAGAAATGAAATCCTTCACACTGTTCAACAATTAAAAATGTATTTTAATTCTACAAATTTACAAGGAAAAAAAACAAAACAAAACAAAACAAACCCAACGAAAAAAAAGAAAAACTAAAAATAAACCAGAAACTGTTCCAGGACTGTACTTCAAGTTTTTTTCTTTGTCAAATTTTGTAACGATCCTTGGCTTTTCGGGTTAATTCCAGTCCTTTAATGGAATGCAGCAGTTCTACTCACAACCAGCAAGAGCCTTTGAATCTGGGCTGAAGTTTGACTTTCCCCTGTGAAAAACATCTAGTCCCCCTGACGTGAAGAACAGAACTGGGGACTCAGAAATCCACTCACGTGAATGGTTCTCTTTTGTTGTTGTTGGGGTTTTTTTTTCCCCTATTTCATGTTGAGTTTAAAACTTGAGGCTGAAACCAGGTCCTGCAGCAGATGCTCCTTGATTTGTGGTGGTCAGATGAAAACCTGTGTCTTTCAGATCATCATCACCCTGTGAAAACCAAAGACAGTTGTTTCAGTAAGTGTGCAGACATAGTTACCTCTTCAACACAAAAATCTAAACAGCAGCAATAAAAAAAATAAATCCAAGTATCCTTAGGAGATGAGAAACCACCGTTTGATTTAGTGACATCATAGCTAAGGCTGAAGCAGAGTTATTATTGGTCTTTAAAGAGCGCTGTTTTAAAATTTATCTTTTCTAATGGCATCTCAAGCATATGCCCAGTTTGTGTATCTACTTTTGACTACACATGTGAAAAATGAAAAAAAGTGAACACACTCTATAAATTAGCATAAACTACACTTATTCAATATCTGGTGACACACACTACATACTCTCCTTGGCAATTTTTATACCCTCCAAAAAAATCAAGGTTAAACAAACTTTTAGGCTACTGCATCTATTAAATTGGGTACAATAACTGTACACTGCCATTTCATCTACACTGAGGCACAGAAACAGTAATAAGTTGCTATAATTAAGGCACCTGAGACTGTAACACCCCATAGTTACAAGGGCATCTTTTTCAGCCAGCTTTTTTTCAACATGGGCAACACAATCCCCACTGAGGGGAAGAACCCCAGCCTTGCCTTTTTTTGAATTCTCCAAATATTGGAAAAAGAGACTGTTTCTATCCACAAGACGGGCATAACTTGCCAGGCTTTGGATTTATTTTTTTCTCAAAAATAAATTTGCAGCTTTGAAAGCTTAGTTGAAAGTGTCAAACAATGTACACTTTCACAAGGAAAATCGTTCTGCGCTGTGATAAAACCAGGCATCGTCTCTCTCTCAGATCACGTACTTGAAATGATGATTCTGTGACTAATTGGACAATTGGAATGACAGCAATTGGACCTGCCTTTTGGAAAGAAACAGAGGGAAAAGCTGGATTTCTAGAGTGTCATTTTCATGCGAGCAAAGGTGAGTCTCAGGAGCCCAAGTCCCAGAAGGCTGACAAAAGGCAGGCCATGTGAAATTTTCCAAAAATCAGGACTGGGACGTGTGTGAGGCCATCAGGAGCCTGTGTCATTGGCCTCAGTGGGCTGTGCTTACCAGCTGACTGTAGCTGGTGGGCTGTACTTACCAGCTGACTGTAGCCAAGGCCTCCCTCGGGGGGCCGGGGGCTGGTGCCACGTTTCACTCGCTGCTGCTCGCTCTTGGCCGGCCAAGTGGGAAACATGGAGGGGTCAATAGGAAGGGGGGTCTCTCGGAAATACTCGTGCTTCAAACCATCTTCAGCAGTAATTCTTCTGGCTGGGTAGTAGGTCAAAAAGCTGAGAAGAATTTAGGAAGACAATGAAATAGGGAGGAAGAGACAGAAGAAAGATTTTAGCACCAAAACGGCAAATTCTTCAGAATTTTCTGATTTTTAATAAAGAATTCTATGAATGGGTATAATTGCTGACATGTGGCTTATCTGATTATTTTTTTTAATTTAATTTTTTAAAATAGATCTAAGTAAGATCTGAAACAATCATTTCCACCTCTTCACGTCATGAAATGTAAAAGGGGAGGGAGGGGAACAAAAATCTCTCAAGCCATTATCAACATTTTAAAGAACAATGAATTGGAATGATCAGAATGCAGCACTCGAGTTAGCTCAAAGGACTGCCAGAACATCCTGCCAGAACATCAGATGAACTCATGAGCATTGAAAATCTCATTCTTTAATATGATCTCTAGAATACACTGCTTTTTTTTTGCCCTTTTTCAACTGTAATTGAATTGTTTTAATAAGATCCATCAGCAAACCGCATGGCAGCTGACTCACCACGTAATTAAGCGTGACATAAATGAGCTAAAACAACTACTCAAAACATTTTTCTGTTCTTCTAGGATATAGGTGTGTGAGAATAATCTTGGAGTGAGGTTTAAGGGCAGGTGTTAAGAGCGTGGCATAAATATAGCTGGTACAAGGAATGTCACAGCAAACTTCACATGCATCAGCATGTTTTGGAAAGGTTAAAGGCACTGAAATACCAGCCTTCCCTACAAGGCATTTCCCACATTTTCCCAAGGACACCCTGGAAGCCAGCACTCACTTGTTCATCAGGTCAAACCCCTGATCTGAGAGGAGGGCCCCAAATCTCTTCCGCAGATTGTTGTAGGGATATTCGGTGAACGTCATCTTCTTCACCGCTGGCAGCTCATTGTAACCAGGCCAGATTTTTTCACTCGGAGTACCCAGATCCTGTAAATTAAAATGTCTCCTTAATAAACTCATTCTGGAGCACGACCCTTCTGTTTATTCATTACGTAGCAATAGGAGTTGGTAAGTATCCAGGAAAAAACAGAAAAAACGTAAATTATGATCTCAGCCTCCTATAACTATTTTAAAACAAGAATCAGAATAATAAACCTTTAACCCTGAATCTCTGTTAAAGAACAACAAGCGCTTTTAATTTCTTACTGCTGTAATGTACCTGCCTCCAAAAACAGTCAGAATCCAAAAGTTGGTAAAAATTTTACCTTAAAAACTTTGTTAATCTGGTCGATTTCTGACTTCCCTGGAAACAGCGGTTTCTGTGTTAACAGCTCCCCAAATATACACCCCACCGACCACATGTCTATGGCCGTTGAATATTCCTGCAAAGAAAGAATATATTATACCTTATAAAATCAGTAAAATACTTTCACTGAGTTGTTTGTGGTTTTTTGTTGTTGTTTTAGGGGTTTATTTGGGTGGGGCTTTTTCCTTAAGGATTCCACCACCCAAACAGAACGCTTACAATCATTCCAATACCTTGGTTCTGCTCTCAGTTGTCACAAATTTTAGATTTAAAAAAAAAAAAAAAAAATCAAAATGCAGCTGCCCAAGATGACAGTGACAGTTCAAGAAGCCCATCAGCACTCTAACACAGAAAAACCTCAACCCATCACCCACCCACCTTCTGTCTGTGGAAGGTGGAATTTTTTAGCTGTTATCAGGAAAAATAATACCGAAGATTCAGAGATTCCATTTCTAAATCAATGTAAAGAGTCGAGCATACTTATACTCTGTTCATAAATTATAAAATAAAGTTAATCTGAAGAGTCATTGCTCTACCAGCCAGAGGAACACACAGAAACATACCTTGGCTCCCAGCAACAGCTCTGGAGCCCTGTACCAAAGCGTCACCACCACGGGGGTGTAGGGCTTCAGCGGAGACCCGTATTCCCTGGCGAGCCCAAAATCTCCAACCTGAACAGAAAGGAGTCATCAGCAATAGTTCCAAGGCTGACCCCACCATTTACTAACAGCACCAAGATGTGCTGGCCACGTTGGCTACTGCCTGGCCTCCAGCCTTCAAAACCAGCCCCCCAGAATGCACCACCTCGGGGGCCCACCTTGGCTTTTTCCACTGAAGGAAAAGAACATTTTTCCCTCCCTGAGGCCAAGGAAAAGTTCCTGTTCTTGATCACCCTGACAGAGAGCTTAGGGGGCACAACAAGACCAAACAATAATAGATGCTGACTTCAACTTTGCCAAGCAAGAAAATATTCCAAGTCCAGTTTTCCTGAACAAGGCAAAGGCTTAATAACAGCAACAGCTATAAGATGTAAATGAAGGCGATACATAATTGGCATCTACGATTCAGAAGTAAAAATTGAAATGTTATGCCATGATCTTATTAGTACTGCCTTTCTCTTAGATTTTTGTATATAGTCAGTGAACAGTTAGGTAGATTCTGAAAACATTCAACTTTTTATAAGACTTTTTCTTTGTTAAGACAATCTCCATCTCCACCAGTGACTGACAGTCCAGCACCGCTACGGAGATCTATATCATTAAGCTTTACCATCTCTCAAACTGAAAGACCAACCCCAGCTCAAACACTCTGATGAAAGCAAACCATTCTATCCAGCTCTTGACAATAAGGAGTGTAATTTTGTAACACCCTTGTGGTGCATTTTGTGTAATTCTTACTTTTAAAATGCCCGAATGACTGAGCAACAGGTTGGAAGTTTTCAGGTCTCGGTGAAGTATCCAGTTGTCGTGAAGGTGTTTGACTCCTCGCAGTAACTGAATCATCAAGGTTTTCACTTCACCTGAAATGATAAAAAGAAGCCAAATACGTTTAAGAGAAGAAATCTATCCTTAATTTCTTTTTGTTTGGAGAACGGGGAAGAAGGGGACGTCAAGATAAAAGTGTAATACGGACCACACCATGAAAATATGTCGCAGAAAAGGTTAAACCCACAGAACTTTCAATAAAGCAAAATTTATTTGGATAGGTGGAATGCATCCAAATAATGCTCAGAAATTAATACCTCTCAAAAAAAAAAAAAACGGAACTGGCCAAAATTGAAACTCAGCATTATTTTCTAGTTTAGCACAGGAACTCCTTCCATTCTGCATCTGAACCTCACCCTCACCCTGTGCAACCTGGATTTATCAGCCAGATCTCACTACGAATACCAGCACTGCCAGCCTACGGTCCTATTTTAACTTGCATCAGTAAAATCAGACCAAACAGAGAAAAAGCAACGAATTCTCTGTTCCAAAGAACACTCACGGCACATTCCAAGGCACTACACGTCACCGCACAAAGCCCAAAGACCCCGGGGTTTGTGTTGGCCAGTTTTGAGAATGAGAGGGAACTGGCAAAGGGTACCTGGCAGGAACGGTTGCTTCATTGTTTCCATCAGACTCTTGAGATCGTGTTCGACGTAGTTCATCACAATATAGATTTTATCCATGTTGCTGCCTACAACGATTTCCTAAAACACAGAAAGAAAGCATCAAAACAAGCGCACGGTATTTAAAAAGCATGCAAAAATGAATTTTAGAAATTTACTGGCAAGAGTATACATAGAGCCTGCCATTGATAAAATCCATGGAAAATATCCTTTTCTATGAAAAAAAACCACGTTTTTGCAAAACATCAGATTATGTAGAGACAAGTAATGTCTCTATAGTTTTATGGCTTGTATACAGCTGTTTACAGAAACACACAGCTGTTACAGAAAACTCTGCTGTGAATGTAACATTTTTATAAGGCATTCTAAAAGCCAACAGGCAATATTTCAAGAACAAAAATACTTTTAAAATAGAAGCTTGTGGCCTTACTCTGACAGTGACAATATTTAGATGCTGTGCTTTCAGAATAGTATTTATTTCTCTCAGGGAAGTAATGGGAAAGCCTTCCTTTTCCTTTTCCATTTTCAGTCGCTTCAGAGCCACGATTTCATCTGTAAAGAAAACAGCATTATTAAGTGCAGATTTCCCACCACACAGCTAATAAAATGCAAGTTGAGAGGTCTCCCAGTGTTCTGTCACTAATTTAATTTATTTGACTGAAAACCATTACTCAAGACATTCTGTTCTACCAAGAAGTAGAGTCGGTCTCACATTAGCAAAGTAAAAACAAAAAAAAAATCCCAGTAACAAGAAGAGATTGCCAAGTTTAAAGAATAAAATCCAAAGAAACAATCTGAAAGCTGCATCATGGATTTTAGTGTATCCCAACACAACTCACCTGGGAAGAAACTAAAGAAAAAGTGTATTTTAACTCCAAACTCCTGCCCATAGTTAGGAAGATAAGACAGATACACTAAACAGAGGAACCAAGGCATCCAGAATTTAAACCTGGCACCCAAATCTTAAAAATATGAACCCACTTGGATACACAAAAGTGTTTTTTTTTAAGAGGCAACTTAAAAAAAGTGAAAGTTCCTTCTACAATACACTGCAGGATATGCTCACTGCACACCAGGCACTGCTGTCTGAATTCCCCGATGGCTGGCTGAGCTGACAGTGACGCCTGCTGGAACACTTAGAGCAAATTTTGAAAACTTGCAGCCTGGTAACTATCTACAGCAGGTCTCAAGCCACAAATAACTGCCTTTTGAGCCAGGAACTGCAATCCTGTTAATTGTTCTACACCATCACGGCCCATCCAGAGATTGCTCCTCAACTCAAAGAGCTGCAAGTGGAGCCCTTACATCAAATTCCACACCCTATTAAAAAGTAGAGATTGCTCTTGCTAAAGAAGAAAGCCTTTCAGGCAGATTTTGTTCATCAACGAAAATTGCAGAACCATCATTTCATACAACTTCAGCCCGAAATGCCATGAAGGTAATAACTGGAATTATACTAACCGGTCTTCTTGTCTTTTGCTCTGTACACCACACCGTATGTTCCTTCTTCAATCCTGTTCAAACACTGAAATTCCTCCTTGCTACGACATCCCTGAAAAAACAGACAGACAACATTTACTCCTCCAGCACCCAGGGAAGAGTTTTGTTTAGTTTTTTAAATAAGACATAAGGTAAGCTTCAGCAACTTCACAGGAATAGTTAAAATTTACTGAGATAACTCAACAATATTGCTACTCCATGTGAGAAAGGTGTCTTTGGGGTTTATTTTCACTTGGGTCTCTACAGAAATCCTGGACAGTCTGTGTTTTAGGAGACCAACTACATTATTTCATTGATTCTTCACTCGTTCACTTTTGCACAGAATAAACTGAGATTTCTGCCACAATGGCAAAAGTGGCAACTCAGCACCGTAGGCTGATACCTTTCATATAGTTCAATTAATAAAAAAGTATGCTTTCTGTTTGTATTTCTGCACTTTGTTGTTGGCTACAAAAAGAATAACCACCCACCAGTTTCCATTCATGTTAATGGAACTCTTCTCTCTCAAGTATCTAATGTTGTTGGCTACAAAAAGAATAACCACCCATCAGTTTCTATTCATGTTAATGGAACTCTTCTCTCACAAGTATCTGTTTCCAGATAGCAATGCCAAAATATCAGAGTAGCAGATATATTATTACATTTTTATCTATATCTAAGAGTAATCTAATTTTTGCTCCACCAGATAGCAATGCCAAAATATCAGAGTAGCTGATAGATATAGATAAGAATGTAATAATATAAGAGTAATCTAGTTTTTGCTCCGTGCACATTTTTTACTTGTCAAAGGAGACAGCAATATTTCACACAGAAATGTCTATTTTGTGATGCTGAGTCAGTAGGGCACAAGTGCTTATGATGTTAATGAAGCAGGTAGGGAAATAAATCCCTTTGCCTGTGAGGTTCTCAAGTGTCCTTTAAGTGATGCTCTACCTGAAGCGCAGGAAGATACTTGGGAAGCTCTTGTTTGAGTTCAATGGGGGAGGAAGCTGGCGAGTCAGGAATGTAGTCCCCTTCTGTCATGGCATTGGAGTGAGGGGTACCCTCCCCTACCTCCTCCTCTTCTACTTCACTTCCTGCTGAATCTCGGTCAAACCTCGACTCTGTAACTTTAAAAGTCAGAATCAGTCACAGAAAGAGGAAGCCATTTGGAACAGTAAGTTCAGCTTTAGACACGGAAGGGGAGTGAAACCCTGATCACTGTACACCAAACAGGTGTGCAACATACACAACTTCACTTACTGCAACACTAAAGATCAATGAAAAGCCCAATTTCTCCTCTTTGCAGAGGTGACACCATCAAGATCTCATTTACAGTCACACAAATGCAATTTGCGGCGTTAAATACAGCGTGTCAGAAAAATAAACCTTTGTACTCACAGAATGAGAGAGAAAACTGACCCTGTATCTCATTCTGACTGCAAAGCTTTTTTGATGAGAGGGCAGAACAAGAGATCCAAAATGAAAAAGAAGGAAACATTAGCTCATTAATCTTAGGCTCTGATTTCCTCCAAAAACAGGCCTTGGAACAGATTTCAAGGGATTTCTGATTCTGACATGAGAATGGCCCCAAAACACTAAATATATGATGCTTTAGACGATGGCAAAACTGCAACAAGAAATACATTTAAAATATTTTAAAGTATTTGTAGAAATAGATTTAATTGGCTGCAAAAATTCAGCCAAAAACTTCTTTAAGATTTAATTGGCTGCAAAAATTCAGCCAAACACAAAATTCAGTGTTTGCATTGTACCAACTGGGATGTGGTTTCCATTCTCCCGTTCCTCCTCTTCACTCATTTCTTCCTCGCTCACCTCCTCTGCAAAACAGAATCAAATGCAACTGAATAAACTCAACTCTTCAGAGCTCCTCGTAAGGAAATGCTTTTCTAATTCCAGGCCTTTTCACTACTATCTAGTTAGTGACCTTGTACTTCTGTTTCTCTTGGAAAGCAAACACTTCCCTTAATTCCACACAACTGCATCTTTCAGATTCCAACAGGGAATACAATTCTTACCAATTATCTGGGAATTTAGGGACAAGGAGAAGCGAATAAATTCAGTCAGGAGACTTATGAATATTTGCTTATTGACTGCAATTGATTTTAAAGAAAAATACCCAGCCATCAGAGCATGCTTTTGTGCCTTTTCTTTACTAAGTAATGACTAGAATGGCTGTAAGTAGATTTTTACTAAACCTTTTTTATTATGTTCATTTATTTGTACTGGCATGAAAAAAAATATATCTGAGATTTGCAACTGAAAATAATTCAAAATGACAGAGACATTTGTATTTCACCACCCCCCAAATAAGTGCAGAATTGTTCTCTATTGAATATTTGTTATATTACAGAATTACTGGAATTGTTACCCTTACACCATTTAGGAAGAGAAAAAAAGGCTTTCAATTTTCTAATCTGGCTTCTTAGATGAATAATTGGCATTACCTCTATATGAAAGGATAGAATATGACTTGTACTTGTTTTTTTTTCTTTTTACTTATCTTGACCTGTGAGGTCTCAGCCTATCCTAGACTAAGAGAAAAGGAAAATGTTCAAATAAAACAATACAGAATGAGAAACAAAAGAAAATTATAACACCTGCTTTATGCTACTCACCAGCTGATTGCTCAGACACTTCCTCAGAATTGCTTCCTGTCTCCTCCTCCTCCTCCTCTTCCTCTCCCTCTTCCTCAGAGCCTTCACTGCTAGACTCTTCCTCCTCTTCTTCTGAGCCTGATCCAGATTCTGTTCAGGGGTAATGGGACACGTAACCAAGTAAGCACACACTCTAACAACAGTGTTTCCTTAACAGGCAATCAAACAACCAATTACATCTACTAAATTGCATTTAATCACCTGATGAAGACTCTGCCGAGCTGGTTTTTCTCTCACTGTCACTGATGTCTTGCAAGTCAGAAAGAGGATCTCTCTCTTCTGGTTTCTCTTCTTTTACTGTTGGGACCATAAAAATTAAGAACTGGATGCTGACCGAATGTCACATCTGGACCATAAAAATTAAGAACTGGATGCTGACTGAATGTCACATCTAATAATTTATAAGACTCTGAATACCCAGGTAACTGCTTTATTTCTCTGGCCATTAAACTGGTGCTGAACATTCTGTATCGGAAATACAGAACACTAAAAAATAAATAAAATTCACAATCTGCTCAAAAGACAAACAGCTTTTCTGAATTGCAGTGCTGCAGGATCAACAGCCAAAAATGTGGAGTATTGACCTTTTGGGTTTTAAACAGGAATTGCAGTGCTGCAGGATCAACAGCCAAAAATGTGCAATATTGACCTTTTGGTTTTTAAACATGATTATAGGCGTAGGGCCCTCTAAATGTATTTAAAAGAAAAATTAAAAAAGAAAGTCACATGGTAACAAGTATCAGCACAACACAGTCTCACTGATGTGTGTACACACGGCGCTCACTATCAGTGCTTCCTGTTCTAGTGCAGCCCCTCGGGACCACCATGAAATCGCACATGCAAACAATTGTTGATTGATTAGCCAGTAGCTTCAAAGGCCTCCCTGCCTGCCTCCACCTGGGATTTCAGCTGATCCCACTCTGCAATCAGCTTCTGTGAAATAGTTACCCTTATTTTTACAGCTACACGGTAACAAAGCAGACACGAAGCTTTTCTTCTTTAACCAAAGACAATTCTACGTCAAATTTGCATGTTCTCTACTCACAGAAGTTAGGACCTTCTAGGCACGGGAAGGGGACCATTTTCTAACCAGAACAGTGCCCTAAGCTTTTATTTTCTTCTACAAGATGACAATAACAGTGATGCTTAAACTACATTGATCCCTGTAAGGTAACTTTTTAAGGGAGCTTAGCTCCTAACAACAAGCTGGAGCTAGTGCAAACAATCCCTTTTTAATCTACAAGGGAATTAAATTATAAAATTTGGGAGCTAGTGCAAACAATCCCTTTTTAATCTGCAACGGAATTAAATTATAAAATAATTTTAAAAATTCAGTCAGCTGCTTCTTTCATCGCTGAATGAAGTAACTCTGAAACTTTTAAAATTATTATTCCTACTACTAAGAAGGAAAGATTAATTTAATTTGTCACTTCCACAATTACCTGCAAAAACCAGCTGTGCTTTAGCAAACAGTCCGTATGTACATATTTGTGAATATTCCCAGTTATGCCCCCACAGCTGCAGTGGGCAACACTTTGAATACAGTACCAGGGATGTAAGTTTACTACTATAAATTAAACCCTACCCCAGAACAGCTCCTCCTATCCCCCAGGCAAAGACATCATAAAGTGGCAAATGCTACCTGGTTTCCTGCTCTCTCCTTGCTCAAGCTTGTCTCTTTGCTGTCGTAATGGGCTGCGACTCCAGGGTCTCATTTTTACTTTGTCTCCATATTCTTCCCTCACTGTTCTATGGTGTGCAGAAACTAGTGAAAACAAAACCGGAAGAAATCGTTACATCTCCCTGCCCTAATTAGAAGGCTTCTGTCTGCCACAACCACCTGCTTTGCATACTTTTCATTTTTCCTTACGAACTAAAAGGTAACAGAGAGGAGTGGAAGTGGAACCTAACAATATCTAGGAGAATAAAGAACTGTGATTTGCCTCACGCACAATCAAATATGGGTTTGTACCACTGAAGAGAAAGGTGCTGCTGTACTTCAGAAGCAAGATGTCCTAGAGACTACAGAGTAAAAGCCCTGGAACTAAGGCATTAATGCCAGAGAGAGAAGTGGACAGACCAGGAAGACACATTAAAGAGTAAAACAGCTAAGGGTTAGAAGGAGCTGACAGAATATTTAGAGCAATAAAAATAAGTAAAATGAAAAGTTAGATAGCTTGACTGGTATCAGTGTAATTACTAAGCATAGAAAGGAGCTGTTTGGTATGAGCTGAACTAGAAAGAACAGCCATAAACATGGCTTCTTCTGCTACTCTGGAACAGTATTTGTCACTTGATCACAGGATCGGGCTCCAAATTTTACTTCTGAAAGTTGGTACAAACAGAGACAAACCAAAAATGATCCAAACTTACATTGTGAGTACCTGATATGCTACATGAAGTGAGGGTTCGTGTGTAGAAGGTAATTTAAATTGCTGTTATCAGATCTTCCGCGCTTGGCTCCCACTACAGGCTTTTTCATGGTTGGAGTACCTACATCATCTTTCTCCCTCCCTTTGCAATTTAATTCCCCAAATCCTTAAAACACTTCATGTTGAGACTTCAGCCTCTATCAAATTGGTTTAGACTCAGCCAAGGAGTTTATAAGTGACTGGGATCACGATGGATACACACAGAGATAATACATTACATTGTTTTATCTCCCCATGTTGAAGTTAAAAGATTCTTCATTTTTTTTTCTCCATTTTCTTCCAAATTCTGGCTTCGATTTAAGTAAAAAGTGCTTCCTACACCTCCCTTCCCCTGATGTGTCAGCAGATAGTGAACCCAAACACTGCTTACACACAGACAGTTACCTTCTCTTCTGGCTTCCCGTTCCTTACGCCTTTCCTCAGCTCGCCTTTCTCGCTCTTTTTGCTCCCTTTGTTCTTTTTGCTGCTCTCGGATTTTCCTCTCTCGTTCTCGCTCAAGTTGCTCCAGACGATCTCTAGAAAAGAATCACTTCTTGTTACATTACAGTTCACTACAAATTCAGCTTATGAAGTAAGAGAAAACTAGTTTTCTTTAACAAATTAAAGGTCCATTCAATTTCATTAGCAACAATACCACTGATTGCGCATTAGTCAAAAGCAGATGTAGCTTTTCAGCTGATCTTTAAAACCAGCATTTCAAAGACAAAGACTTTGCACTCTCAAACACAAAATCTTCTGTACCCTTATTGGGATTTTAACAGAAATTAAGCAAGTTGGGTTAATAAATCCCCTGATACCATGCAAAACTGGTTTGCACTTTCTTTTTTCATTGTAGTAAACCACTGACAATGCATTCACCTAGAAATATGTGTTGTAATGAAGTCACTTACATAGGTAATTAAAGTCAAGAACACATTTTCATGAGACAACTCATTCACGAGAACGTGGCACTGCCATCAGTCCTTACAAGTTTTTGCTCTGAATTTTTTTGTCAATGAAACAAGAGGTTAGTGATAAGACTTAAGAGGAGGAAGCTGTTGATCTCTGCTGGTTTGTCAGAGGGGAGGGAGGGATAGATGTACCTCTCCCTCCTGGAATGCTCCCTTGCCATTTCTCTCCGTTTCTGTCTTTCCCACTCACGACGGGCTTTATCCTGCTCTTCTCTATGTCTCTTCCTACGCTCGTGTTCCCGTTCTTTCTCTTTCACTCTGGCATGTTTCCCTAAACAAACAAAAACGAATTTTGGAATGTTACTATTCAAAATATTTAGTGTTCCTATTTTTAAAAAGCAAACCTGGAAAGGATGAAACTTATGGTAACCTGTTTTCATGTTCTCTGTTAGATTCTTAATGGAAAAATCCTGATCTGCAAGGGTGTTGGAAAATTAAAATATTGCACAAATGCTCGCACTAAAAATGCAAAAAGACTGCCAGGAACAGGAATACAACATGAATGTTTCTAGAAAGGATATTTTCTCCTTTACAGTCAGAAACAAAGATCACAGCTCAGCCCACTCCCTCAGTGAAGCCAGAAAAAAAGCTTAACAGACTTCAAGCAGATTCCGTGTTCCTGTCCCAAAGTGATCACTGTTCTCTCAAACATATATACTCCTCTGTCATTCCCATAAGGGCATTAAACACAATCAAAGAAGTAACACAAGGTTAAATTCCTTTGTCTTATCCACCTGACATGTTTTCTTTAGTTTTTAATTATTGTTATTTACTGTCTACATGATGCCTGTTTGGCTTTACCCCGGGAAGCTACCAGAAACGTTATCCAAATGGACTAATAACAACCTTCTGCTGAATGACTACGATGTCTACGTTTCTCTTTCCTCTTCTCATCTTTTCTATGATGGGTTTTTTCTTTCCGTGACATCTGTTGTGGTGGTTTTATAGCCAAGGAATCATCTTCTTCTCCTCTAAAATACAAGATGAATTAATAAACTCAGGAAGGTCACATGGCCTGTCAAACTCTGTCTGTGCTTTTGAACAGAATGCATTTTTTCCTATATTATTAATTTATATTAAAGTTTATTTCCATAAAACCCCTGAACCAAGGCATTAACAGTAGCTTACAAAAAATCATAGTCATATATATGAGAACTTAAGATATTATTATATGTGCACTTTTAATACACAAGCAAACTGAGGATGAATTAAGCACCAAAAGAACTCAGCAGGGCTGCTTTAACTACATCTCAAGTAAAGTATTTTATTAGTAGGTAGTGGCCAAAATTGGACCACAATATTCTGTTGAGCCTTGATCAGTACTTCAAAATGATACCCTGGCATGATACCCATGAACAGGAGGGAAGATGGCACATCTGCATGCTAAAGAAGTTAAACTTTTTCCCCTCAGATGTTTTTAAACCCCCTTCTCAGTACTTTTAAAGGTTAATTTCAGTAACTCTTCCTAAGTTCCTAACCTTCCTAATAACAAGGTTATTCTCTTACCTGTCTTCCATGGAGTCTTCCCTCCTGTAAGGTGAATTTCTGATGGTTATTTCCATGCGATGGTCTCTCAGCTCCCCCTCTTCAAGAGAATCCCGCTTTGAGTCCCTATCATCTGACTGTGACAGAAATGCAAGAAAGGGCAAAACCAAAATGCAGTCAGTTTTTATGTCCCAAAACGAACAAATGCAAATAGTACTCAGCTCTTCCATTCCTGGCTCAAAAGCCATCCTCAGCTGGTCACACCAGTACAGTCTACTAACTTATGAAGCAGAAAATTCACAGTTGTAAGGAGCCAAATATAGTTTGATTGCAATTACAGCTGAACTTCTGTAAATTCAATGAAACTAAACAAAATTAAACAACGATTAAGAAGGATTGCATTAACTATTGTGGGTTTTAAAAAATATTTTGTACATAATTGTACAAAACCAAGTAGTACCACAAAAGTTATTTAAAGCAATTATTAAAACTCATTCTTCTATAAAATCTTCAAAAGGTTTTGAATTGAACTGCAACTTCCAGTTAATCACATCGATTTCTTCACCTTTTTGAACCAACAACCATGAAGCAAAGCACAGCATACCATGTAAGGCCAATGAGATCTTAGCAAAGCATTGCATTTTTGTCAAGCTTTGGAATTAGAGATCACCCATAAAACATGCAGAAGAGCAGAGGGGAATTCCACTGACAGGGCAAGAAGCCTTGAATTCATCAGAAAAAGAGAATATATGCACTGAAATGTGTCATGTTTTGTTAGAAATGCTTATATACCAAGAGATAGCTTACATTTTTCATACGCTTTATCTCTGCCTTCTCCTCTTGCTCCTTCCTTCGTTTTTTTTCCTGAAGAATTTCATCTAAAGTTTTCACTTTCCAAGAATCCTTTTCATCACCCATTTGAGTCCAAAAAAAAACAACTCTGAAAAAGAACCCGACATGAGCAAAACCTACACAGACTCCGCAGTCCAACACAGCTATTTCACACTGACTTTTCAGACGCAGAGACAAACACTTAATAAACCATCTTCAAATAAAATCAAGTTGGACTTATGCTGAACCAAAAAAGCCCGTTTTAACGGCAGAGTCTTTGCCAGAACGCGGGGACCCGTCTGAGGCAAAGGAAAACACCGTCTGGGAACGCGGGCGGGCGTTTCACCGCCGAGGAGGACCCAAAGGGGGCTGCCCACCGCATACAGCCCCGCAACCGGAGGGGTGAGGAGCACCCCCACCGCCTCCTACCCCACCGGGCACCCCCCGAGCCCGCAGCCGGAGGCCGCCGAGGCGTTAAACAGGCCGCCAGGCCCCCCCCGCGCCCGTTCTGGCCTCAGAGCGCCGCTCCCTCTGCGGCCCCACCTCCGCCCTCCCCCGCGCCGCCGCTCAGCCCCGCACCGCGACCAGGACTCCCCGCCGCCGCTACCGGAGACTGGGACGGGCAGCGCGAGACAAAGGCGCCACTTCCGCCCGGCGGCGCGGGCTGATGACGCCACCTGCGCAGGCGCGGAGAGCGCAGCCCTGAGGGAAGGGGGGGGGGGCTCCCGGGGCTGGGCCGGGAAGTGACAGAAATGGCCAAGGAATTGTCAAATCCGGTGTTTCCGACAACGCAAGACCCTTTAGCGCAAGCAGGAAAGTAATTCGCTAATTAATTAACGGCAACAAATGGAAAAAAACCCGCAACCAATTCCACCGCGTGGATTTTCTCCACAAGGAGAAGCCATCACCCCCTGGGCCCCTCTTTAGGCCCATCCCTGTAATTACATACAGAAAGTTAAATTTTATTATTTTTTTAAAGCATGATTCCAACAAATCACTTACATAACGGCAGCAGAACACACACACGCACCCAAGGAGAATTTATATTCTTAACGGGCAATTCCTAAAAAGGGAAATGAGCTGAAAGGACAGGGACAGAGCTGGAGATGTGATGGCTGAGGCGGTGACGTGACCAGAGGTGACAATGTCACACGGGGCAGGAGCGATGAGCACAAGCAGATGCTTTATTGTCTGCCCGTGGTTACAGCCAAGAAATGATGCTGTTTCAGAAACATCCCAACTGCTATGAGTTAACACCCTGTGCTTCCACCGGGACTTCAATGTTATGTCAGGAATTCCCATTTTGGGGAGGATGGGCTGTTTCTAGGAGAACACACAACAAACACCCCACAGAGCCGCGGTGCCAGAGCTCCCTTTGCTCACTGCTTGAGCACCAGGGGTGGGGCCGTGAGAAATGGCATGGAAAGAATCCCTGGAGTGTTTCAAAAGTGGACTTTTTGGGAAAAAAAATCAAAAATTGGGAAGTAGTAGTGCCATCACGCGAAGCAATCAAAAGGCGGAGCCTAGGGGTGTGATACTGAAATACGGGAATTCTGAACATGGAACAAAACATTCCTTATTTTACCCAACAGGAACAACAGCAAAGGAGAATTAGTATGACCAGAGGAAAAAACCATCTTGAGTGGACAGAAAAGAGGTTGGTTTCTTTAATCTAACAAAAATAAAAGCCAAGAATGCATAGAAAAGTACATAAGATCAACACCGAAAACAAACCCTCAGTGACACGGGATGATTGTGCTGCCACACAACAGGGGGGGGAAGGGGGAGGGCTAAACCAGCCACTAATAAATAAGCTTAGAAATTACAAGTTCCAAAATGCTCCCAGCTGTTTGGCTCACACGACTTTTTTCCAGCAGTAGGAAAGGCAAAAGGCGGGTGGCTTTGAAAATGAAGCTGATGAAGGGTTTTACGTGAGGACGGAGCCAGGCAGCCAGAAAGCCACTTAATATTTCTGTCCTCCAACAAGGCTAGAAATAGGATGCACTCCAGACTTGGTTTTCTGCCAAATACGCTGAGATTTTTTAAAAGCAAAAAAAAAAAAAAAAAAAAAAAGAGGGATTGAAAAACAGGGCTCCACCCCGTAGTCCACAGCTTTCTGTCAAAGTGACAGCAGTACAAAGAAACAACAAACCACAGGTATCACATACACAATGATTAAAAAAATTCACATTTCCCTCCCGCTCAAATCTTCAGAGAATATCCCCCAGGTGACCAGTCACGTATAAAAATGTAACCTGAATGAAACATAAGACAAAACACACACACGCTATTTAAACAGAAAAGGGGCTTCTTCAGAGAGACCATCTTGGGAACACACTGTTCTCCACAGGAATAGTTCACTAAAGCTAACGAACACCTCACAAGCAGAAAATAGAAGCAGAAGCTTAAATTTTACAGGAACTCCACAGGTAACTTCCCATTAGAAATGATTTTCACCATAAAGACCACTCTATCTATTCTTCTAATGCCATGCTACAATCTTCCACAACACTGCCAATTATTAAAAATCAAATTAATTTAATTATGTTACCAAGAAGTCCATTTGAATGTTTTTGTAGCTACGTGTGCCTTTTTGCCAAAAACTAATTAATAATACTTAAGAATTTTTTCTTTTTAACTTTTAATCTTTGACCTACCACCAACGAGAATTTCCTTAAAAAAGAAAACTTCTTAAAAGCAGCAGAAATAAAGATTAGCCTCAGTGTATGGTCCTCCCTTTAGTGGCCTCTCTTCCACCTGCCACAGATACCTCTGAGATTCTTTACATGATCAGAAACGACAGAAATGCTTTGCACATAGGTCAGAATTATAACCCTGAGTTTCTAAAAGGCAGTATTTTGTTGCACTCTTCGAAATAATACCAAAAAAAAAAAAAAGAATTTATTTCCTCATAACAGAAATATATAATAAAATGCATGAAATTAAAATATTAAAAGAAATACAGAGATCCTGCTTCCTTTATCACCATAATTTTTCAGTGTTTTTTACCTCTGAGCAACTGCAAATATTTAATTCAACACTCCATTTACACAGTATATGTTTGTGTGTATATTTGCATTTCAGTATTGTCAATATGCAACCAGGATGCAATATTTCCATGTTAAATTTTAGTAGAAAAATCACTTTTCAATTCCTAGCTTTGTAGTCAGAAATAGCCACTCCTCGCTGCTCTGGGGCACGGACTTGTTTCCATAATTTACTTCAATTAAACATGTACCAAAATAAGTCATGTGTTGGGAGAGGAAGGGGGTTCCCTCTTCCAGCTCTGCAATGTGCACAAACGATGGAGGACGCAGCAGGGCAGGGGAACAAACAAGTAGGAATTTCAGTTGTGCAGCAGTTTCACTCCGCTGCAGGCAGGCAGGATGCAGTCACGGGTCCACATTTTCACATTATTTTGATGGGGAGGGAGAAAGGAATCGTTTTCCCACAGGACACTGAAGTTCTTTCTCTAATACAGGCTTGTATGTTATTTGCAGTCAAGGAAAGACATTAAAGCCCACGTTTACCACATTTTAAGATACAAGGTCCATCAGTTTCTCAGTAAATCAAGGCTTACTGAATTCTTCCCAGCGTTTTCTCTCTCTGCTTCAAGTCCCAGGTGTGACCTGCGTTCACTCGAAGGAACCAAACCAGCATCAGCTGTTGAAGAAATACCCACTTTCAGGAAGAGTTCCTTTCAGTTACACCAGGTTGAAAGAATAAATGGCCGTTATTAATCATAGGGTTCCAAATCTTTGGAAATGAGTGGCTCGGTATCTTCGGGGGGACTTGGTGTGGATTGTGGGGCAGCAGCTGCCAGGCTGTGTATAGTCTCTTGCTGATGCTGCTTTGCCTTGTTGTACAGAAGAACTCCAATTGTCACCAGGACAGTCCCAATGGCTGAGAGGCTTGTGATTTTGTTACCAAACACAATAATACTTAGCCAGATTGACAGCGCATGCTTCACAGTACTAGCAACACTGGAAAGGAATATAAAAATTAAGGCCAAAGAAGGCTTTCTCATATCCCCCCCAAACATGCTTTAATGTAGCAGGACCTCGCTTTCTTTCATGTGCTTTTTAAACACAAACTCAGATTCCACTTTTCTTCCTGGAGCTGATACCATAACCAATTTGCTTGTCTATCAGCACTTGTATCTTTATACTCACCTTGATTTTAGAGCTAGCACAAATATTCACCTCAGGTGTTTGTTTCCATTGCAGTACATCATTAGCAATTCATTTCCACTAACCCAGGCATCCAGAAATGCTAACAGAACACTAGCAACTTCGCTATTATTTGCAGGTCTGCTGCTACTATTCAGGTAATAAAGCATTATAACCTGAGAAGAATCAATATCTACATCAGACCAATAACATTATAACAAGTGTCTAAGAAATTCTGTATACGTACAAATATGAATATATGGGTTTACATCCTCTTATGTAGAGAGGACTAGCAACTTCACATATAATTCAACAAATACAGCTCGCCACGCTGGTGCCGTGCTTCAGAAAAAAAGGAATACAGAGCTGACTTATCATATTCTGTACTGCACCGAGGTATATATGGGTATCACATTATCACTGAAGCAACTGGCAGCTTTACTGTTGGATCTAGGGTTTTGGTGAGTCTACTCAGTCTCATTTACCAGCTGCTGAACCCAAATACAGAACACCTGCTGGTAAATGCAAGCACCTTTTCCATAAGTTCAATAGGTCAAATGCTGCTCTCACACAGCAAGGGACCAAACCACAAAGTTTTGGTGATCCAGATGTGAAAAGTTTTCTTCTAAATTTCACATACTTCTGCCTTTACGTTAGTTTTCTTTGCACAATACCTTTACTGACTAGTTCTCAAGCAGAAATAATGAGCGTGAAAGAAAGAAAATGGCGTTCATGACGTGAAAATACAGTTTTACCTAAAAGTCACAGGAGAAATTTTTCCCATCAAGGCATAGGCTGTAACACTTTGTAGGTGGAACAAGACTCCATCTATTAAGAGAAGTACCACAACATCTTGGTTGTAGCTGAAGCTCCTCCCACTTTTCCCAATCACAGGCACATCCTAAACAACAACAAAAGAAGAGGACTTTAAGAGTTTAGTTTATAAGCAAATCTAAAAGTGGTCTTCCACCCAACTCATTATTGTTATTATAAGAAGATACAGTTTTACCTTTAAACTTCAGCAAAACAATCAGTATAAAATACAGGACATTTAGATAGAAATTTTTCAGAGGGTTAATATTCCTGTATACCATTATGAATGGAGTAGTCAAAAAGTCAACAAATAAAATGGGAAGAATGAAAGGCAAAAATTAAGATGAACCTTAACTGTATATTCTGCTCACAAGCCAAAAAGAAAACATAAGTCATTGTCAGTGAATTCAAATTACCATGAAAAATATCCAAGCTGGAATAAGCATAACCACTGCAGCAGCACTTGTGTAGAACTGAAGCTCTGGGGCTCTACAAAGGAGAAAAAACAATTAAAATGATTAAACTTCCTCTTTCTTAGAGCTGAAGAAAGCTGCATCATTATTGTATTAACAGACATAAAAAATTAATGAAAGCCATCTACTAAGCTTTGGGGACAACAAATTCAGCAATCTCTTGCAGAGATACTGCTTGGCTTTTTGTGCTGGCCGAGACAGATTCAAGATTAAAGGCACAAGTTTTCAAGACCAAAACCAGCATTTCATCTCATGGTAAAATACATATACATACATACATATGGATAGGTATATTTTACCACAAGATTTTATTTCTGCTTTGTGTTTTGTGGTTAAAAACATCAAGAGAGTTCTAAAGTTTGTTTGTGCAAAATAACCTTAAGGGATGTTTTACGATTACAAGACCAAAACCAGCATTTCATCTCATGGTAAAATACATATATATACACACATACATATGGATAGGTATATTTTACCACAAGATTTTATTTCTGCTTTGTGTTTTGTAGTTAAAAACATCAAGAGAGTTCTAAAGTTTGTTTCTGCAAAATAACCTTAAGGGATGTTTTACGATTACAGAACACAGAATTATTTCTGGATATGCTGAAAGTTTTAGCTGATTATAAGACTCCGATCTACTGCAGTGGGGTCTGAGCACAGTTTTCTTTCCCTGATAAAATTATTTTGGTTAAAGCTGTGTGTAAACAGCCTGAGAAAAAATAAGTATCGTGGTGCAATATAATCATATAGTTTCCTTATGTAGCCCAAAGTTCATTTATCATCACACCTGTGATATTTTTAATACTTACGAAAATCTGTATTTATCTCCACTGAGTAGTTTTTTGGAAAAGACATTTTGCAAACTGGAAAAAAACCAAAAACAAACAAACACCACCATTTATCTGTATTTTAGTTATGACAAATAAATCAATCCATGAGAAAAACAGTTGTTTCCCTTAGGTGGGTAGGTATGTTTTCTAAACATTTCACATTCTATATATTATGCCACTACAGAAAGGAGTTTAGTCTAATTCCTTTAGACTAACAGAGCTGTACTATTTTTTTAATCTCACGAATGCTACCAGATAGGATAAACTCTATCTTCTGTTAAAAATAAATTTTAAATACCACCATTTAAATGTAGCGTACAAAAACTACAGGCAAAAATTTTCTTCATTCTACCAATAAAATAGATTCTTATTCCCCATGTGCAACTATCATTATGCCTTACCAGTCCATGATATTAGTAGATAAAGCTGCCGAGAAACCTAGAATGTTGAAACTGATTTCAGTAGCTGTACACAGAGCTAGCCCACCCATGACAGGAATGAGAGAGAGATTAACCAGCAATCCTGCAAATGAAAAGTAAAAATTAAATCTGAGTTTAATTACTGTACTTCCAATTACTTGTATCAGATAATAAAGCTTTTGAAAGTTTAAATTCCATATACTCTACTTATTGTGTTCAAACAGACTGAGTCTTCCAGCTGCATTTACTACAGTTTGGTAGAATCTCCTCATCTGTGGCCAAGTAAGCGACAGTATTTTTTTTTTCCTTTTGTATGTGTGTATAAAAGTCAGAAAAGAAATAAATATCACATTTTAACAATGAAGTACTTACCAGTGTATTCTCCTAATATCATCCGAGACATGATAACAGTAAAAATAGGTGCAGAGCTTTTAACAGTTTCGGCAAATGAAACTGCCACATTTTTCAAGCTGACAAGACCCAAGACTACCGTTGCAAATCTGTAACAGAAGAACACGTGAAATTAAGCAGAAAATAAAATATTGCTTTAAGACCTACTCTTAGACATTAGGATTGCATAAGAATTTTGCCAGGTTTATAAATTTGAGCTGCAGTAACTAAGACTGTTGTCATATAAATTTGAGCTGCAGTAACTAAGACTGTGGTCAAGTGTAGCTGGCAGTCAGGTTACCAAATCCTGGTAGGTGGAGTGCAGTGCAGTAAGGGACGAGCTGCACACCGTTACGGCACAGCACCTGCCAGCTGGGACCTGTCAGAGCTACTTCTTTTGGCTTAAACACTATTATTTATTTAGCAAAATGAAGGCACCTTTGGGCAACTGTGCAATTTCTATGGATGCCCAGTGGACTTCCAGAAAACATCAGAGTTTACTTTTTAATGCACTCTAATGACAGGGCTTTAAGGTAAACTTCTCAATAGGCTCAGTTGAAAAAGTTAGTACAATTTGCTGATAAATAGTAATTCACCAAGGAAATGTTATCATTTGCAGTTATCCATCTTTAGCATAGATCAGGTACAATACGTATTTACCAGACTTTAAAACCATGAAATTAAACAGGGCAGCAGAATTACTACGACAAAGCTACTCAGAATTAATTGAATCCTATTACCCTTTATCCCTTTTTCAGCATAGAGGAAACAAAATCATGTATTCTTATTCTCTCTTACAGCACAAACTGATACTATCCCAGCACACAGCAAATATTTACTTTTTAAAAGATAAACGTTAACTGCCTGTATCACTTTTGAGGCAAATTGCTAGAAAAGGTGAGGGAACAAAGCAACATCATAATAAATACTACTACACTAAACAAACATCAGCCTCAAAAGAGAACAGGAAGAAAGTAAAGAGGAGAAGTATGTTTTGAAAGAAGCTAAATGTGATGGGAAGCCAAGCTAGCCAGAAGAACTAACATCTGGAAAAAGGAACATAACATTTAGCAATAGGAACTAAAAATAAAATTATCTTGTGTCTTTTTTGGGGGAAAGGTGAATACTCCAAACGCTTTTCCAATCAAGAATGAAGACAGCCATGAAAACACAGCTTCTGTTCAGAAGAATGCAATGAAGCAACCGGAGAGATCTCTAGGAAATAGTTAACCATTTACCTCATTAATCCAACAAACAGCATTATCATGATGAAATTGGGTGGATAAGAGATGCGTGTTTTGTGTTGATACAAGCAGCATGGAACAAACATTTTTATACAGCCAATGAAGGTGGTTGAAAGCATTTGAACAGCACCTAAAGAAAGATGAGAGGAAAAAAAATAATAAAATCAGAAAACGATGGGAACATGACGAATCAAGCAACATAAGAAAATTTCTTCGACAAACTTATGTGTAGTACTTTTAGCAGTTAAGAAACGTGACAATTCTAACAAAAGCCCTTTACTTCTACCAGCAAGGAAGCAGAATAAAACTAAGATGGCACACAACTATAAAATCCAGTTTACAAATGAAATGCCAGTTGTTTCCCCCTTTAAAAAAACAAAACAAAACAGGGATAAGCAGGCCCTTGGATAACAGGTCACACAAAGGCAACTTTTGCACTTCTACAGACAAACAAGTTAACCTTAAGAGGTCTGGACACTGTTAACAATGGACTCAATTTTATTTTTTTAAAAAACCCACACTAGCCTCCAACCCACAAAACAAAAGATTACATTTTTCTTTCCAGATGTTAGTTATCACACACCATTTTACAGCTCCTCTATGAGCACAGTTTCACACCATCTTGCAGCAAGCAGGGGTAAGGACAGTGGTCAGAAGCCCCTTTGCAGGCTGAGATCACAACTCACGAGTTCCCAGCCCCAAGATCCACCCCCACATCTCTTAACTAGGTCTTTTTCACTTCAGTTGAGTCATTTTGTCCCTCAACTTTATATAGGAGGCTCTGATATTGTCAAGTATCTTACTGGAATTCAAGTGTAAAAGAAAGGTAGGGTTACCTAGCATGCTGGGCTCTCCTTCCAGTAATGAAAGAATGTATTTGTTAAGGAAAAGAGTGCAAAAGCTGAAGAAAAACCACAAAGTGAGGTAGATGAGAGCATGAGAATTCCAGATGCCCAAGTCGGACTCAATCACCGTAGTCTCCGTGATAGTTATTTTCAGAACGTTCTCCTCTGGCACACTATCACTCCTAGCAATTACAAATTTTTCACTCCTGTTAGCAAAGAGTGAACCCAAATGAAATAGTGATTTTCCCTGTGGCTTTTCTTCAAGGGGGGGAGGATTCGGTTCCTCTGGCGTCTGAGCACTTGTCACAGTCGACATGCTGGCATTAGGAAATTAATATTTGTCCTCAATACAAACCAACATTGACTTAGCACAGAACAGCACTTCGACAAAACAAAAATATCACGTGATTAGTCTTTCATCTCCCACGGCCTGAAAGAGTGTACTTGGTCCTCCAAATAACATCTTGCATAAAAATAAACTTCACATGCTTCTTCATGTGGTCTATTCAATTTTTTTCTGCCTAAGAATGAAGAAAAAAAAAGAGAAAGGAAAAAAGCATGTAGTTCTGAACATACTGACATTTCAAATCCCTAATGCAGCAAACACACATTTCACCTGCAGATTACGAAAGATAAAATGACTTCTGTACCTTGTCTTTCAGACTGGATTTTGCACTCTTAATTGCACTCACAAAAGCAAGTGTAAGCACCGAGAATTTATGTAACGGAGACTTTTTATTTTCAAATAGCACACACACACAAAAGTCTTCATATTTTTTTAAAGTATTTCTCTTCTAAAAGTATGTTAACATGGCCTTTTCCATTATAATTAAGTCCTTTTAAAGATTCTACAGCTTCTTTAATCGCAAGGTCTTCCTACAACCACTCAGCAGAAAAATCTTCGCAACCTAGAGAATCGGGCAGGAGTCTGTACCCTCAGTACTAATTAACCTGTTATCTCGAGTCAAAAGGTGCAATCAATAATAAAGGACTGTAGCTTCTAGTAATCATAAACACAGTTATCCTGGTAGCTATGAGATCTAGGTGAACAAACTAGGAAAATATGTCCAAGAGCTTTCCAAACAGACTTGTTCTCTAATTATTTACTTGTAAACAACACAACATTACTTATTTTGCCACCGCAGTACTGTTAATAGCTTTCAATTCAATATTAGTACTTGCAATCATTCTTAAAGTCTTTTAAAAAGATCTGACAGAAAAAAAGGCATTAAATCATTTGCAACTAGAACTTTCTCCTTGTACAAATTCATAGAATGGTTTAGGTTGGAAGGGATCTTAAAGATCATCCAATTCCAACACCCCTGCCCTGGGCAGGGACACCTCCCACCAGACCAGGTTGCTCAAAGCCCCATCCAGCCTGGCCTTGAGCACCTCCAGGCACTACATGAAACGTGGCAAGTTACAGTAGAAGAGTATAGAGAATAACAAAAACACACTGTGACCTTTATTCTTCTCAAGTCATGTAATGGTAGTTGACATTATAATGCTAACAGATTCAAAGTCTATTAAGAAAGAAAGAAATTGCCCATGAGCAGCTTATCTACAACATTAAAACAAACAATTGGGTGTATTGCTTTCTATTTTACAGTCTGTGTTTTATGAGCAAAAAAAACAGTGTTAATCAGATAAAAATGAAATGACAAACATGACCTCTTTTGTTCCTCAACCAAAAAACAGGGGAAATTAAATTTGAAATACTTTTCTCCAGAAGCACATTTGCTGGATAGACAAGATGGTGGAACTTTACAGTTAAAAAGTAATTCTTGGCAGGGAAGTTAATCGCTGGACATCTTGGAAAAGCTGTCTGAAATGAGATCATTATACTACAGTACATCAGACAATGGCAGCAGAAGATATAATCGATGGCAAGCAAAAATAAATGAGTTGAGAAAAGCTACAGCACCTGCTCCGATTTTGTTGGCATGCGAACAGGTGAATAGGACACAGCATTTTCTTCATGCTTTTTTAATGTCCAATGTGGCATTTCAAAATAAATCATAAATAGGTACTAAAGAGTTAAATATATCCTGTCAGTGTCCATATCCTAAATGCTGAAATTTTCCATTCCTCAAGTTCTGTTTCTGTTACTACAGACACGCACAGAAGGTTTCCATCCCTATCCCCTTATCTCTTTCCGTTTTAGCAGGAAATCATTCCAGCAGCACGGCGAGGTACAAGACCCTCTGACACTTAAGACAAAATTAGCCAATCTGAAGGAAAATATGCATTCCTTAAAATAACTGGTTAAGAAAATGGATTTTTGACCCCTCCTCCTTTTCCAGGTCTTAAAAAAAAATAACCCTCTACATTCAAAACTGCTAGTTATCACAACTTTGTTAATCCTTTTTCTGTTTATACTACTCAATTACAAACAAAAGCAATTAAGCACCCCAAAACTCCCACCCTCAGCAGCACTGCGATATCATATTTGATATCACCAATTCCACACATGGCAGGACACAGAACAGCAAATAAGAACAAAATTACTCCCCTAAATTACTGACCTGCTGTCTTAAATGAACTGGAAAGTCTTAAATGGGCTGAAAGAGTTCTCCATCTGGAACTAATTGTCTTCCTCCCTTAAGAACAACCAGCAGCCGATGTTTATCAACAGATGAAAACGTGGCAGTGGCTGGTGGACTGTTTCTCTTGGATTACACACAAACATACAATCTTCCAGCTCACAAGAACAAACAGCGCACAGCGCATTGTACGCTCTTCCTTATATCCTCTCCAGTTATTACCTACGTTAGCAATAAAAATGTTATACTACAGGTTGAAAAAATATGGAGTATAAGCTTTGAGAATCTCAAACAACTTCTGACTTACAAGAAGTAGCTAATTACCAGTTCAACAACTCTCCAGTTTCTTAGGCTTTAAGACATATTCTTAAGACTATCTGCATTCAAACCCCTTCTCCCTTTCTATTCAGAGCAGTTCTAAATTTAATCAGAAATACATTTATTTCAAACTTAAAACAGGAGCAGAGAAAAACCTTTTCTCAGGAGGCTTTTAAGTGCAAAGAAAATAAATGAAGACATTATTTGCTTGTGCTTTTAAGCATCTAGTTTTAATAAAAAAATATTACTCTCGGTTTTTAACACAGTAATCATACTTGGTTTCATTACTAAACTGCTTACATTATTTTCTATTGTGTGCAAGTGGCCTCCACAGGCATAAACAGCATTTTGCTGCCAGGCAGCCTGCATTAATATAGAGAAATGACAGAAATACATAGAAATGACAGTGCTTTTGTGGAAATGGTGTCACAGCTTAACAAATTTTAAATTAGCACCAGTTCACAGCTTCTGAAATAAATAGCACTCTATTCGCTCACTCCAACTACATGGACCTGTGATAGATCAAGCCAGGAAAACTGCTCCCCCCTGAAATTTAAGGCTGCAGGGAAAAGGGTCACTCTTAATCCATGCCAGGACTAGTACACGTCATCTACTCTTAATCCACACACATCACCTACACCAGTAGTTTAACCTCATCACTATAAAAGCAGTATGTCTACCTGGACTGTTTTCTACCGGTCTCAGACATCAAGTTTTGCAAAAAAATAAAGTGCACAAGCAACACAAGTTAACAAGAACACACACACTGCATTTTTTGCATTAGTTCTTCCATAAGAAATGTTTCCCAAAGAAACTATAACTTTCCATTCACAGTCAAGTGAATAAAAGAGAGAAAAAAATCTAAGAAACTGACCTCATGTAAAGTTTTACAGCAGTACAATTTTCTAGCACAATTTAAAAGCGAGCAAACTCAGTCTTCCTTCTCTGATGAAGGGGAGGTCTGTGTCACATCCACCTTCCTCCAAAACCATGGAGATATGAGGGGCGGAGCAGCCACTGAAAATTCAACTGCAAGTGTAACAAGGACCTGACACATTCCCCATACCCTGCCTTCACCCAGGATTTCTGCTGGCTGCCCTTATCTAATCAGTAGCTCTGCTGCAGAGCTGTCTTCATCCAACACCGACACCACGTAGTCAATTCTTTCACAACCATATTTAATAAAATAAGCCAACAAGCAAGAGATAAAACCAACTCAGTCAGTTGCGTCAAAGAGACACGTCAAAACTCCTTCTAATAGCATTCACTTAAACTTTCTTTTCATTAGAAACTGCATTCTTAACCCTAATTTTTGAGAAACTGTCAAAAATTAAAAAGCCAGCAACACAGCTGGAGTTCAATATAACCAGAGGTTTTCATTTGAAAGAATAAAACTATTTAAAAATAAAACAAACAGCAACAAGAGACAAAGCAGTCACACAAAAGAGGAAATACAGTGACTTTTAAAAATTGCATATAGTATACGAAAACATGATTTATCTTGAAAATAAAGCACAGCGTTTCCAGCACTACAGAGCCTGGGGTTTTTAACCATCTATTGCAACACTGGATATGCACAGAATCCTTCATGATTCTTCCACAGAGCATAATAAATATTATTTATGATTGAAATATATTTGTTGGCAAGCACCTATCGGGTACTACAACAAATTTAATATAAAATTCTTCTGTGATGCAGCTCACCTCAAAACTGATACCTTTCAGTCAGAAACCTCTGATTATTTCTTGAAAGAGCTAAGCAGATTCTGACAATCACCACTACATGTATGACATCGACAGTTTCTTATTGCCTTCATTTGCCTGAGACTGGAAGTGCTCTGGACCTTGGTATGACCATCACAGAATGGTCTGGGTTGGAAGGGACCTTAAAGACCATCTCGTTCCACCCCCTGCCCTGGGCAGGGACACCTCCCACCAGACCAGGTTGCTCCAAGCCCCATCCAGCCTGGCCTTGAACCCCTCCAGGGATGGGGCAGCCACAGCTTCTCTGGGCAACGTGGGCCATTCATCTAACAGCAAAGACAAAAAGCCACTGCTAGAGTTTTTCTGACCTCGTTAGTTACCTGTACATAAAGACAGATAACTTTATTTCGACAATATCAACAAAGAACTTGTGGTTTAACTCCAGCTGGCAGGTGGGGCCAGGCAACTGCTTATGCAGTTCTCCTCAGGAAAATAGCAAGAATAATAAAATGATAAAATAATATAAAAGACACAAGTCACTCTCACCATCTGGTAAATTGCTGAATTATCACTGTTTCGAGCAGCGATAGCGAGCACCCCCCAGCTAACCCCATTTCTGTACTGAGCATGACATCTATGGTATAGAATATTCCCTTGGCCATTCAGTCCTTCTGTCCAGGCTCCTTCTATGAGAAGCTGAGAAAAGTCCTTGAAAAATATAAACATCACCTGACAACTAAACCAACATGCATTACAGACATTCCTTCCATACCACATCTGAAACACAGCAACCACTGGAAAGAAAATTAATTCTATCCTAGCTGAAACCAGGTCACAACTCTAGGTATCAAGTCAGCTTTACACCTTGCACACTGAGTAAAAGCTAAAAACCACTGCAAGTGTTAGAGAAACTAAGGCTAATCTGATAGTGAAAAAGCAGTGACTTTGAGTGCATATCTCTTAACCTACTATTGTGCAACCACAGGTCACCCAAAAACATCGCTTCCAACACAACAAACGCACAGAACTCAACATCCTAAGCAAGCTGCAAATATTAATGCTGTTTCACTAAAGGATGAGAGCACCTGAGACGTTTACAGGCATAGATCGCAAATACAATGACAAAAGCCATCTCCCATACAAAGAAGATGCTGAAAAGACTGAAATAGCTTAGTACTTTTTTGCACTTCAGTTGTATTTCCAGTCACCCAGTGCTAAAATCTTCCCTCCTCTCGTCCAGGACCAGCTCCCAGGCAGACAAACCCGCTGTTTCCACGCCTCGGAGCTGACCGAGCATCCCGGAGCGCTGCCTTCCCCACCGAGACCGGAGACCTTTGAAGGGAACGGTACCGCAAAACCTCCCTCTTTGACTCGCTTTTCGGCCTCAAAGCCTTTTCTGAGGGAACCAGCGAGGCGCAGCGGGAGGCAGCGCGGACATCTTCCCTCCTGAGGGAAAGAGGGAAGGGGGGGGCGGCGGCGGCGGGAGGGAGCGTCGCGGCCCCGCCGCCCTCCGGCGGCTCTTCCCGCCCGGGACGGGGAAGTGACGTGTCGGAAGCACTTCCCGGAAACCGTACACGGCTTTTTTGCAGCCATGTAGGTAGCGTTACCGGAGGAGGGGGACGGCGCCGGAGCGGCCATGGAAGGCGACGACGACAGGTAGCGGCTTCGCGCCATCGCTGAGGGAGGGAGAGCCACCCCCGCTCAGCGCTTGGTTCCGCCCGTACGGGCGGAACTAAGCGCTGAGCGGGGGTGGCTCTCCCCAGGCGGGCGGAACCAAGCGCTAAGCGGGGGGATCTCCCCACCTCATTACCCTGCGGGACATGGGCCGGGGAGTGGTTTGGTCCGCCTTTCCCCCCCCCTCCCCTCACCGGGCGCTAGTTGGTACGGCCCATGAGACCGGAGACCTTTGAAGGGAACGGTACCGCAAAACCTCCCTCTTTGACTCGCTTTTCGGCCTCAAAGCCTTTTCTGAGGGAACCAGCGAGGCGCAGCGGGAGGCAGCGCGGACATCTTCCCTCCTGAGGGAAAGAGGGAAGGGGGGGGCGGCGGCGGCGGGAGGGAGCGTCGCGGCCCCGCCGCCCTCCGGCGGCTCTTCCCGCCCGGGACGGGGAAGTGACGTGTCGGAAGCACTTCCCGGAAACCGTACACGGCTTTTTTGCAGCCATGTAGGTAGCGTTACCGGAGGAGGGGGACGGCGCCGGAGCGGCCATGGAAGGCGACGACGACAGGTAGCGGCTTCGCGCCATCGCTGAGGGAGGGAGAGCCACCCCCGCTCAGCGCTTGGTTCCGCCCGTACGGGCGGAACTAAGCGCTGAGCGGGGGTGGCTCTCCCCAGGCGGGCGGAACCAAGCGCTAAGCGGGGGGATCTCCCCACCTCATTACCCTGCGGGACATGGGCCGGGGAGTGGTTTGGTCCGCCTTTCCCCCCCTCCCCTCACCGGGCGCTAGTTGGTACGGCCCATGCGGGAGGGCATGACCATCACAGAATGGTCTGGGTTGGAAGGGACCTTAAAGACCATCTCGTTCCACCCCCTGCCCTGGGCAGGGACACCTCCCACCAGACCAGGTTGCTCCAAGCCCCATCCAGCCTGGCCTTGAACCCCTCCAGGGATGGGGGAGCCACAGCTTCTCTGGGCAACGTGGGCCATTCATCTAACAGCAAAGACAAAAAGCCACTGCTAGAGTTTTTCTGACCTCATTAGTTACCTGTACATAAAGACAGATACTTTATTTCGACAATATCAACAAAGAACTTGTGGTTTAACTCCAGCTGGCAGGTGGGGCCAGGCAACTGCTTATGCAGTTCTCCTCAGGAAAATAGCAAGAATAATAAAATGATAAAATAATATAAAAGACACAAGTCACTCTCACCATCTGGTAAATTGCTGAATTATCACTGTTTCGAGCAGCGATAGCGAGCACCCCCCAGCTAACCCCATTTCTGTACTGAGCATGACATCTATGGTATAGAATATTCCCTTGGCCATTCAGTCCTTCTGTCCAGGCTCCTTCTATGAGAAGCTGAGAAAAGTCCTTGAAAAATATAAACATCACCTGACAACTAAACCAACATGCATTACAGACATTCCTTCCATACCACATCTGAAACACAGCAACCACTGGAAAGAAAATTAATTCTATCCTAGCTGAAACCAGGTCACAACTCTAGGTATCAAGTCAGCTTTACACCTTGCACACTGAGTAAAAGCTAAAAACCACTGCAAGTGTTAGAGAAACTAAGGCTAATCTGATAGTGAAAAAGCAGTGACTTTGAGTGCATATCTCTTAACCTACTATTGTGCAACCACAGGTCACCCAAAAACATCGCTTCCAACACAACAAACGCACAGAACTCAACATCCTAAGCAAGCTGCAAATATTAATGCTGTTTCACTAAAGGATGAGAGCACCTGAGACGTTTACAGGCATAGATCGCAAATACAATGACAAAAGCCATCTCCCATACAAAGAAGATGCTGAAAAGACTGAAATAGCTTAGTACTTTTTTGCACTTCAGTTGTATTTCCAGTCACCCAGTGCTAAAATCTTCCCTCCTCTCGTCCAGGACCAGCTCCCAGGCAGACAAACCCGCTGTTTCCACGCCTCGGAGCTGACCGAGCATCCCGGAGCGCTGCCTTCCCCACCGAGACCGGAGACCTTTGAAGGGAACGGTACCGCAAAACCTCCCTCTTTGACTCGCTTTTCGGCCTCAAAGCCTTTTCTGAGGGAACCAGCGAGGCGCAGCGGGAGGCAGCGCGGACATCTTCCCTCCTGAGGGAAAGAGGGAAGGGGGGGGCGGCGGCGGCGGGAGGGAGCGTCGCGGCCCCGCCGCCCTCCGGCGGCTCTTCCCGCCCGGGACGGGGAAGTGACGTGTCGGAAGCACTTCCCGGAAACCGTACACGGCTTTTTTGCAGCCATGTAGGTAGCGTTACCGGAGGAGGGGGACGGCGCCGGAGCGGCCATGGAAGGCGACGACGACAGGTAGCGGCTTCGCGCCATCGCTGAGGGAGGGAGAGCCACCCCCGCTCAGCGCTTGGTTCCGCCCGTACGGGCGGAACTAAGCGCTGAGCGGGGGTGGCTCTCCCCAGGCGGGCGGAACCAAGCGCTAAGCGGGGGGATCTCCCCACCTCATTACCCTGCGGGACATGGGCCGGGGAGTGGTTTGGTCCGCCTTTCCCCCCCTCCCCTCACCGGGCGCTAGTTGGTACGGCCCATGCGGGAGGGCGGGAATCCTGAGGCGATGTCGGTAATGGCTCCCTCTTTCTTTCCCCCTCCAGCGGCGCCGCGGCCTCCCCGCTGCCGAACCTCACCCCCCGGCACCGGCAGCTCATCCCCACGCCCTGCGGCCCCGTGAGTACACCCAGCGCCGCCCACAGTTACTAATATGCATTAAATGCACAGGAACCCAAAAGTGTGTGGTAGCAACAGTGCCATAGCTCAGCCCGGCCTCCAGGTGACTCCCCAGTACCATGTGATGAAGCCTTTTTTTTTCCACACTGTCAAGATCACGGGAAAGTGAAGTGATTCTTGCTGGCGTGGTGCAGTTTGTCTGTCTCCACGATGTGGACTGCCTGGCATGAATGGAAAAAAAACCCATCTCTTGCTCAAATCCGTTGCACATTGTTCAGAACTGTGAAACTCGATTCTTGCTGGCGTGGTGCAGTTTGTCTGTTTCCACGATTTGGACTGGAAAAAAACCCATCTCTTACTCAAATCCCTTGCACATTGTTCAGAACTGTGAAACTTTTTGGCAATTTTTTAAAACTGAAAGTCATAGAACGGTTAAAATTGGAAGGGACCTTAAAGATCATCAAATTCCAGCCCCCTGCTCTTGGGCAGGGACACCTCCCACCAGACCAGGTTGCTCCAAGCCCCCTCCAGCCTGGCCTTGAACCCCTCCAGGGATGGGGCAGCCACAGCTTCTCTGGGCAACCTGGGCCAGGCTCTCACCACCCTCACAGCAAAGAATTGCCTCCTCATATCTCACCTAAATCTCCCCTCTTTCAGTGTCAAACTCTTCCCCCTCGTCCTATGGCTCCCTTCCCTGATCAAGAGTCCCTCCCTAGCTTTCCTGGAGCCCCTTGAGGGACTGGAAGGGGCTCGAAGGTCTCCCCGGTGCCTTCTCCAGGCTGAACTCTCTCAGCCCATCCTCCCAGCAGAGGGGCTCCAGCCCTCCCAGCATCTCTGGGGCCTCCTCTGTCCCTGCTCCAACAGCTCCATGCCCTTCTGATGTTGGTGGACCCAGAGCTGGAGGCAGCAATGGGGGGGGGTCTCCCCAGAGCGGAGCAGAGGGGCAGGATCCCCTCCCTCACCCTGCTGGGGATGCAGCCCAGGATACAGGGTACTGGGAAAATGTTACTTGCTGAACATCGCAATGTTTTGATAGACGTATATGTGTGCATTGGCAATCTTGATTTCAGGAGGTGAAATTATAACACTGTGAGCCTTGTGACGCACTGAAAAAAGTCAAAGGCAGTCTGTGGGTATAAACTAGAAAAATCTAGGCTGAGTTCTCCCTTTCTCAGCAGCTTTGTAGTTTCAATTCAGTTGTAGAGAGTTTCTCTTCCTTTTCCCAAGGAAAACCCTGCAGTTGTGTCACTTAGTCAACTTGCTTTAATGCATATCTTAGAAACAGTAATTAGTTTATATTGCATTCCGTTTTTAAAAATTTTCTTTCTTCACAGATAAAACCTTGTTCAGAGCTATCATTCCCTGTGAAGATCTACTTCTGTGTCACTATTTTGTCTCTGCTAAGTGTCATAGGGCTAACCGTAGAGACGCTTGTTCGACAAACTGAGGAAGATTTCACCATTTCTCTTATTCAGTTAGTTGGAGTTGGTAAGAAACATGCCATTTATATTTTAAAACAAATGTTTTTTCCCAAAATAGTAATTAAGCAGCAACTGACATTTATTATTTTACTCCAATCTTCTGCTAGTTCAACACTAACAAGCTGGAGGCTTTTGCCATTGTTGCTTTTTCCAGGAGTATTTTAGGGAAAGGATTAGTAATAGACACAGTGTCATCCAGAATACATACATGTGTGAATGGTGTGAAAAAAAATACTCAGATTTTAGGAAGTTTTGCAATAATTGGCTTTCTTACTGGTGTTTCCTTAGGCAGATGTGGCAATGATTTGGCTTTCAGACAGCTGTCACTTTACGTAAGATATCCCGAGTGTTCAGCTATGCCAGAATGCTTACCATTTCCCATTTTGATGTCTGTACTGTGGTATGCTGGGGAATTCAGAGGTGTCCACACCACAGCTTGTCGTAGAACATAAAACAGTTTGATCTGAAACAAGAAAATATTAAGCCATCTCTGTCTCTTAAGTTCATACAAGGATGTTGCAAGTATTTTAATAAAAGAAAGTAATGACCTTGGTTTTTTTAAAGCTCTCTTTTTTTTTTTTTTTTTTTTTGTCTAATAGTTTTTGTCCTACTGGAAGCAAAATCCAAACTTCCCTGGATATTTCCAATTAGGATTTCAGTAGAAACTTATGTTTATATTCCTGGGTCCGTTTGTATTAAATAGAAATGAAACTTAACACAAAAATAATACAACTATAAGTATTTTAGGAAGTCGTCTTCAGTAGCTTTAGCAGGCTCTGGCTATTGGCTTGCTGGCCAAAACAGTGTAGAGAAGAATAGGCTCTGTGGGTGTAACACCTTGTGTACAAGAAGGACATGCTAATCATGAGCAGTCATCGCTTTCCAGCTTTCATGCTTTCACCCAGAGGGAACAAAGACAATAGGTTTGTTCCAGATTCTATAATTAGACACATGCAAACAATACTTTTATTCCCAAACTCTGGTTTGATTAGCAGCTTTTCACACAGGGCTCAGCACACCAACAAAAATTGCAATGATAGAACAGGCCACAGATCTGTCACACTGTTTTTGTTAGCAGCCACTGTTTTGTGCTTTAGAGAAAACTAAAGAACCTTCGTAATAAACAAAATGAATCACATGGTGTTCTAAGTGGGAAGCTGAAAGCATGCTTGCTAATCTATTTTCCCCCTTCTACCTTCTGTTGATACTAGTTAGTATTTGATACTGCAACACGTGCAAGGAACACACCTCTCACAAACCTCTGTTTTAAATCAGGAAAAATAGTATATTTTTAACACATTACTTCAGATTTCAAAGTTTTAACGTAAACAAACATTTCGACATATTAATCAGATAACATCAGGCAAGGAACATGTTAAAACCATATTGGTTTACCTTGAGATTTTAAGATGTGTAACTAACCTCCAAAACATGCCAAAACCACATATTTTCTGTAGGGTAGACAAAGACTGACAGAACTGGTAACAGTTCTTTAAACAAAAGTAGATGGCTCAGCTCTAACAATCTCTGGGATTTACCACTAGAGATACTTACTTGAAGGAGGGTTTGGGATTTAATTTTTTGAAAAATGTTCAGTTACCAAATATCAGGTGATGTCCTTTATTTCAAGGACATGCATATGCTATCTCTCCAAAAACCTTGATGCTCAGTAAAAAAGTTTGGTTTAGAATGATTTGTACAGACCTCTTCTGATTTAGCAGCCAAACTTTGCAAAACAAGGAAATACTGTCTTAAATCTTTCAGATCTTCCTGAGGTCACAAGGATGCAAAAAAATCTCATGACTCACTTTGTAATTTCCCAATCATTTTCCGTTTTCTCGATCACTGTTAATAAAAGTGAAAAGGGAAGTTCATTCGCTAGAAGGTTTGTTTAGAGAAACTGAAGTTATCATGTTACGTTCAAAACATCTATGATACTTTGTTCCCATGTCCCAACCTGACAAAACTAGATTATTTGATGTGTGGAATCCAGGAAGTAGCCATCTGGAAAAAGAAATCTATTGTTACTTTGTCTATGGTAAGAATTAACAAGTGTTTGCCAGAGCATCTATATAAGAACAAAGCACTGATCCCTGGTTTTATGAAAGGGAAGCCTTTTCCTTATTTAAGCTTTGTCAAAACAGTGGAGAGTTCTACAGTGACAGCTAACTGTGGTGTTAAGAGTGGTGGGGTTTGATGAATTTTATAAAAACATAAATCAGAACTTTCCTGAAACAGTTCTTTTCTGGACTATAGTTTGCAGGGTGAGGTGTTTCAAAATTTCCACAACAAAAATAAACTGTTAGGAATCCAGTCTTTCTAAGTTCAATTCAACACACAGTCCATTTGTGGTGGTCAGAGCCACACAAACAGTGCTGCAGAGGTACGAGTATGAGTAGTAAACTCTGTTACTCACTTGAATTACATCAGAGCCACACAAACAGTGCTGCAGAGGTACAAGTATGAGTAGTAAACTCTGTGTTACTCATTTGAATTACACTCACTGGGAAGATTAAGTCATTTCAGTTCTTTAATAAAAATGGTGCTGCTTCATTTAATTCAAATATACTATTCAACATAGTGTTCAATGTAGTATTAATGGAATAACATACCACAGCTGCCAGTTGATTTGGATAGCTAGTATCTTGCCATTTTCAAAGTGTTACTTCACAAGTAATTTAAAAATCTAACAAATCTTTCCATTTCTTGTATGCTAAACACAGGGGGGAGCACTCATTTTAAGTATCCAATTCAGGTTCCTTGGTAAGAGCAAAGATACACTTTTGACTGAGGAACCTAAGTTACGGTCTTGATACTTCAGTTTTGTCATCTGGGTCAAGCACATTGAAAAAATTGCACGATGTTCAGTCCGTGTTCACCTGGTAACTGACCTTTCCTTCTCCTTCCAGTCTTCTGCGTGTACTATGTGACTCGAGGGATCCTGCAGGAGAATCGCCAGGAGCTCATCGTCTTTGTTCTCTCCATCTTGCTCGTGATGTTTCGTTCCATTGTCAACTTCACAGTTCTCTCTGCTGAGCAAAAGCCAAAACTCCTGGTTAGTCTCTTGCCTTTAATTAACTTTGCTTTTCTCCACATCTTGGATTTGAAAATCTTAGAAATTATCTCTGTTATCTCTGATAACAGAGATTAATCAGGCTGAATTATTCCTACCACCGAATAACAAAATGTGCACCTCCACAATTGCAAATGTATTTCTCTGAGCTATTCTATGGGTTTTTTTATGACAGTATCTGAAAGTAACATAAATATCAAAGAGTTTTGCTTACACAGGATTACCACAGAACATATCCTTACTTCACCTACTCTACTTCAGATTTCTGTCTATAAAATGACCAGTGTAAAGTCACGTAAATCTAACTTATGAACAGAACTGGAATCTGAGGTCTCTACCCAAGGACATAGCCATTATCCCCACAGCTCCATAAATGCAGCAGTGTGTTTTCAAGAGAGTTACTGTAACCTGCTGCGAGGAGACAAGAAGATACAATGTGCTATGGGAGGTACTGCCGTTCCTTATTATCTTGTTTCTATTTCATAACAATAAAATATAATACAAAGATTGTATTCTATGTGTTACTAAGAGTTGTAGTTAAACTTCCGCTTGCCGTGCTTCTCAGAAGTCCTTCCCTTTTATGGCTGCATATTTATGACAAATGTAAGAAGGAGGTAAGAAGGATGTAAGAAGTCATCCAATAATTTTTCTTCGATAGAAGAGATGACAACCAAGCTAGGAGAAAAATTCTGCAGCAAAGCAGAATTTGCCTGTTCAATTTACATATCAATTGTATACGCTTACCTACAACAAACTGGGTTGCTAGGGTCAACAAGGAACAGGTATCAAAGATATGCAAATTACTTTATGCATCCCAGTCATCAGTTTATCTATTTAACAAGAATTTCAAAGGAAAGCCTGGTGTAGAACACGTACTATTAAGGACCTTTTTTTACGACTATACCAGTAACTTGGATTACTGTAAATCCTGCTTCCTAAGCAAAATTTCTGAGCCAGAATAAGGCATACTAGTATAAATATTCTCATAGCAATGTAATTATGAAGGACATTTTGGTAATGTAAACCAAAATAGCCAATGTGAGTTTACAGTTATTACCAGGTGGTTGCAACAAATGGCAAAACTCATGGCCTGATCTTTGCCACTTAATAGTGTGCCACACTGTCACCTTTAATTGTTGTCTGTTTAATAGGCAGCCTGGTTCTCCTTACTCCTTTATTCTTTTACTTCCAGTTACATTTAAGGACTGTCCCTGCTTTGTCATGGCCAGTGACATCCTTATTTCTCTTTCCCATCAGGCCCGCTTCATTCTGATCCTCTTGGTTGGCTCCTTTGATGTGATCTGTGCCATCATCCTCATTCAGAGTCAAAGCATGATGGCCTTTCGAGTCGGTGGTGCTCTGGAAAGCCTACAGTCACAATACTTCATGCTGAACCTCTGTTTTTCCATGCTGACCTTTGATCTTCAGGCACAGGTATAGATCTCTCTCCCCCTGGGTTCCCTTTTTTCCCTCCTATTGAGAATATCTTAGAATTATGCTAGCTGTGTTGAACCATTAACTTCCACAAGCAATCCTGCCTGTATCTTATCTTTTAGATAAGATTAGCTTAATCATGGTCATCTCCTCAGGTGTTTGCTATAGGGAAGCTTAGTTAAAATCCATAAAAATGAATCAACATATATTTTATCATTGTCCTGCCCAAAAGGAGAACTGAAATTTATTTTTGGGAAGTTTGTCCAACCCAACATGGCCACCATAAATGAGAAAGGTTGTCACTGCTCAACACCTCAGCCTACAGTCTCTTGCCTTCCAGTCATCCTGGCTGTCTCCTGCCTGTGAGAGACTGACACTGGGAGGGGAGCAGGGAGCCTGAGCTGGCAGGGCAATCGGGGTGAGACAGTGACCTGCAGTTACAGAGAGGAGAAGTGAACCCCAGAGTTTTCTGGTTAGAAAGAGTTTGTACTTCCATACTCTACCCTTCATTCTTACTTCACTACTGTATTGCCCTGTATTACCTTACGCTTTATCTGGGGCACATCTTACTGCCTTCCCTGTTCTTTGTTGTTGCCAATATGGCATACAGGGAAGTACATCTGTCCTTGTGTCCCTTTTCATTGTCTGTCAACTTCTGAGGAAAAATTTTAGCCTTTAGACCTGTGCCAAACTTATTGTTGCTGGGAGTTGGTTTCAAATATTTATTTGGTGGGCTGCATGGTCTCAATAATTTTACCAGATCTTTGCCTCTTCTCTTTCAGCTCTGCTTGTGTATTCTGCTGATAAGCCTGCATGAGATCACCCTTTTACATAACATCATCTCAGCAGCAGGGGTTCTTTGGGCCTGCCTGAAGGCAACCATTAGCATCATCGCAGTAAGTATTAAGTAAGAGCAGCACTAGCAACAATAGTCAACTTCTGAGACTACAGTTTCTCACCCTGAGCAATTACCACAGGCTGGGAGTCACAGCCATCCCATTCTAAGTGGAAGGGAGCCAAAACAGATCCCAGCAGGAAACAGCAGCACCAATGGTAACCAAGTCAGGTTTCTTATAAATCCGTGTCTCTCAGCTGAGCATACAGGATGAAACAATGTCACACTATCATTATTCCTTTCTGAGGGACATTGTTTTATTCTCAGTCCTTGATCACCTACTTTATGAAACCTGTAGGATCACAAGATCTTCACTATTTCTACCTCTCTGACAAGGTTAGGTGAAACTGGCAACAGTCCTCCAAATTATTTTGAAGATGGACGTACAGACACAGTGAGACTGCATAGGCCTTATATTCTTAGGAAGCCACACCAAAAAGATGAGTGATCCTTTATCTAAAGGTGAGTGACAGTTTCCAGGTTACAATAAGTACTGTGAACTTGAAATGTAGTTTTTCATGTCAGTCAGCCTGAACTTCCTCTGAAATCTTGAGAGCTCTGTTCCAAGAATGGTTGCAGAATCAAGGCCAAAGTACATCAGATATGTGAGCCTTTTATTACCAGGAAGGAGCTTAGGGGGTTTTGGGTTTGGGTGTTTCCTTTAGCCATTCAGACAAATTCCTGACAGCCGAAATACAACTTTCCAAGTGTTTTGACTGCTTTCATTGCTAAAAATGGCACTAGCTTTGGGTGTTTCCTTTAGCCATTCAGACAAATTCCTGACAGCCGAAATACAACTTTCCAAGTGTTTTGACTGCTTTCCTTGCTAAAAATGGCACTAGCACCAAGCACTGTGCTTTTAAAATACTTTAACTTTAGGTGAATATTTGCACAGAATCATCTTTCTCCTGGATGTGGCCATGAACAGCTATCTAGCAGGAAAAAATGAAGATGGGCCTAAGTGTGAGCGTGACATTTAGGAATGCAGATAGAGATATAAAATAGTTTGGTTTCCTCCTAGAAGCTGCTTATATACCTTTGTGATGCACTGGAGTTTTGCTTTCAGTTAAATTGTATCAGGTGTGGAAAGAAGGGAATAATCAGAACCCTGTCTGTTTTCCTGCTAGGATTAAGAGTGTAAATCTTTCAGTGACTTTTCCCCAACCATCAGAAACAAAGCTGATCTGACCAGTTGCCTTTCACAGATTATGATTTCCTTGCTTCTCATTGATCTGCCTTTAGGCATTAAAAGAGACACTATTTCCTTTAAGGAAAGGAAGAGGCACTTCAGTTAGATGGTCTCATGTCTTGACATACATGATATTCCTTATGCTTTCATCAATAGCAAACCTGTTTCTTAATAGCTCAACCACTAATAGTAGATGTCCTGGGGGTAAGTACATATTCTTGCCCTTTGCTCAAAAGTGTCTATGTTAGAACTACTTGAAAGCTACATTTTATCCCATCTAGATACATTACTGACAAGTTTTTCACAATCAGGTTCTTGCAGTTGATGCAGCAGTAGAGAAACATGTATCATTGTCTTGTTTGATGCTCTCTGCAGTGAGTAAGCAGGGTATGGAGACATACATAATCCACCAGAAAGTATGAGCATTACAGAAGGGAAGGCTTGGAAACGCCTCATACACAGTCCTTTCTGGTAACTGCAGTACCTGAAAGCAGGGCTAAAACTCATGCTCCCTTACTTCTGGGTTGAAGCACATCCCATTCATAAGGGGATTATTCATTATTTTTCTTCTATTTATATACCTGCTCTCCCATTTACTTTAGTGGATTTATTTTTCCTATCTATCCCCATTATTTATCTTCTCTCTTTTCTCCCATCCATTACTAACTCTCTCTTTCCCCCTCCTCTTGTTTCTCACCCTTTGCTTTCCTTTCCCTTTTGATCTTATCCTGAGAGGAGCACTGGGCAGTACCACAAAAAAGGGAGACAACAGTAGAGGTGGCAGAGAACAAACAAACTCCCTTAGGGGAGGGACAGTTCCCTTAATGCTTTTGTAGAGGTTCACATATTAACCATTGCAGAAGGATCAGTGTTGGTTTTGGGGGAATATTTGTGGTTGATCAGATGTATCAAATCTTATCTCAGCATTGCCACAGTCACTGCTTTCGGGCCCAGTGACTCAGCTGTTTTTCTTTCCTTTGCTCAGACCTGCCCTTCCAGTTCAGGACTGCTGAGAGCTGCTGCCTGCTGGAAATCCAGCATTTCTTCTTTCCCACGTCCCAAGGTTAATTGTGAAACAAAGTTTTCCTCACAGCTAAATCCTCTTGCTTCTCCCACATTTTAGTTCTCAGTGACTTTACTTCTCTGTGATTGATAGAAACAAAGGAGGAGAAAAAAAGTCACAGAGCACTAGGAAAACATTCATTTGGTAGAGAAAAATCCAGGACCCAAAGAGTTCTCTGTGATTGATAGAAACAAAGGAGGAGGAAAAAAGTCACAGAGCGCTTTCAGTCTGTTAGCTAGGAAAACATTCATTTGCTAGAGAAAAATCCAGGACCTAAAGAAAAAGTACCTCAGCTTAGATACAACTCAGAAGAGCCAGCTGCTTGTCCCTTGAAGGTAGCCGGGAGTTGTGCTGTGCGTGTGAGAAGGCAGAGCTCCAGAGGATGCCGAGATGGCTCAAATCACACACAGCTCTCAGGATGTGCCCATAAAACAACCAGTTCTGATTTCACCAACGTCACTTCTGGCCCAGGTCCGTGGAAAACAGAGACTCTATTTCCTGCTAAAAAAAACGTAGGTAGAGAAGGCAAGTGGAGAGCAAAGTTACAACTAAGAACTCGACTAGACCAACACTTGAAATGCTATTAAAAATTCAATTATATATAACCTTTATAGAGTATGTAGCAACGAGTTATAAACCTATATATTTCTTATCTTATTTTACAGATTTTAAAAGAACTGAAACCTCTAGTGTGGATTTTTCTGAGTCAGAATGTTCCTGAAGTAGTTTATCTCATCTACCTGCTTTACACGGTAATTCATCACACTCACTGGCTAAATAACGGGGAGCAAGGCTGCAGGCCTCCTCTTCATCCCTTGGGCCCAAACCACGGTGCCTCATTCCTGCACATCCCCCTTTGTGGCAGCTCCTCTTAGAATCAATGGGAGCAGTAGGGTCATCCTACCTCTTCAGGATCAACTTTTCAAGACAGGAACCCTGTCAAATTTCTCTTGAACTGATGTGTTAGAGGGAGAGGCCCTGGATGTCTTTGCAACTGGCAAAGTGTCCAGAATGATTAGGGAAAAATACAACAAAATCTTGCAGTACAAGGTACACAGCTCCTCAAAAATGCCTCCTGTCCTTCACAAGAAGTGGTGCCAGAGCTTTTCATCTTCTGGAGGGCCTCAAGTAATTATATTTTAAAGAATTTCTTAGGGAGCTGCCCTGGCTGTCGATCCTGACATAGTCAAAACAAGAGACAGTGCGAGCCCCACAGACTCCAGTGTTAGGCATTTTTTTGGCGCTATAATAGTGATAAAGCACTTATCAGTGGGGCACCAGCACCTCCCACCACGTGTGTGAGAGGAGCCAAGGAAGAAGGGCAAGGACAAAGCAGATTGTCCATCGTGGGAAGGGCTCGAAGGCTGATAGCAGCCAGTGTTTTCATACTTCGCATAAATAGGCTGCAGAGACTGATAAAAACCCAGTGGCCTCAGTCAGCCAAGGCCTTGGGGTTCCAGTTATTAAAGTGCACCATTAAATCAGGCTCTTCCAATTATTCACAGGCCCGTTTGTCCAGCAAAGCATGGAAGGACCACAGGCTCTTTTGTGGCTCTACTTTACTTGTGTTGCTGTTAGGAAGAAAAGTACAGGTGGGGACTTCTGAAATAAGAGCAACAACAACTTGAAAACAGCCAGGTCTCCTTCCAGTTGTGCCCAGTAACAATGAACATACACCAGTGACCAGCACATGAGGACATGGATATGCAACCAAGTCTTTTTAGCATCTTTTCCCTGACTACCTGAAAAGCTAAAAAAAAAAAAAAAAAGGAAAAGTGCACTTACCATTAATTACTCCAGCTCTGAAAAGCTGCCAGACTGACTCTGTACAGCTGCTGCTTAACAGCCCTCTGCAGTGTCAGCTGGAAAACTGATAGAGCTTAATAGGCAAACAAATAACTGCACCGAAATTAGGCAGGACATCCATAACCTGGATTTGGGATACACACCAGTGGGTTTTGTTAACAAATCAAAGTAGTCAGAACTGTGGTTTTTTAAAATCTCATCCTGATAATCACTAGTCCTGCTGGGGCAGGGACTCCAGCCCGCAGGAGGGAGAAAGAGAACTGCTAGATTTAGTGTCTTCCCTTCAGAACCGGGCTTCTGCAGAGCTCTCTCATCTTGGTATTAACGGCCCTGATCGTACCTTGTTCATGGGAGCAGTGATCCTTCTTCAGTGCAGTAGATAGCTAGCTGCAGGGTATAAATATTGTTGCTTTTAATTAAAAGTTGCCATTTTCTGTGTGTCAGACCCCTCAAAAAAGCACAGTTTGGCAATTAGTATTGTCACAAGCACAGGTCCCAGGTGAGCTTTGTGGGATCGTGCAAGGCAAAGTGCAGTGACAGGGAATGTAACTTCATTCTGTACTTTACAGTGGAAAGAGACTGAGATGTGAGATGAAGTCTGGCTTCCTTGTCTCCAGCTTAATTATTTAATCAATGTGGGCACAGTACTCCTTTCATGATTGTAACGATGCAGAGATCAGAGGGTGTAACACATTTAGCTGGAGTCAGTGTGTGGCCAGGGAATGATGTAATCAGGAAAGTAAGACGGTTTAAAAGACCAGGGTTTTCCCCCCAAAATTACCATCTAGTGACTTCTTTCAGAAACATAGTGGTCGATGGGATTTCATGGCCTCAGGGTTTTGTGGCAGGAGGTGTTGATTGTTGTATGTCTCTGTTTTCCTGCAGGTGATAAAGGAGTGGGGCAAAGGGAACTCTTACACTCTGGAAGCTGCTTTCATTACTGGCTCTTGCATTTCTGTTGCAATAAAATCCGTTTTGTTTTGGGCACTGATTCACGTCTACCGCAGCTTTGGGCAAGGGCTGAGAGAAAGAAGTAAGTATTTAAAAATGTTAACTAACTATGAAACTTGTAGCCTATTGTATCACAGTCACAATTAAGTAGAGAGCTTGTGGAGCCAGGAAGATAGTTAAGGATAGTCACAATCAGAGGCAGGTCCTTAATGACATCAGACACTACTGCAGCCTCAGAAGTTACTGGCCTGGCAAAGCTCAGAAGCTCCAGTGGAACACGTGGGATCTCTCCCTGAGGAAAACTGACGTTAGTCAAAGCTGCTTCTAACCCAGGCAAGGATTGCTGCTCTCCAGAAAAACAGACCTGTGTGGAAAAAATCACCTCTATATAAGATATATGTAATTTTTCTTCTGAATTGTGCTTTGTAACTGCCTTATAATAACTAAGATAAAGGGACCTAGAGAGCCACTAATCTTAAACTACCCAAACCTCCTTTTACATGAAGGAGCTGACTGATCTTCTTTTCTTCTCACAGTGTTTTCTTCCTATGGAAGGATCGACTCCTGAGCATCCCCCGTGTGTTCTACCTGCAGCTCTTACAGAGTGAAATCCCAGCCGGGGACCTTCTGATCAATCCTACATTCAGGATGTAAGCTCAGAGAGGTAGAGGATGTTGCTCAGAAAGATGTCTGTACATTTCTTGGTCAGTCTCGTGCTGGGAGCTGTAGCAGTGCAGCTGGTAACTTAGTTTAAAAAGCAAAGCGCGCTCGGGAAATTAACAGTAATCCTCTCAATTCAGTGAGTTTCGCTGACAGGACAACGCATCTTTCACTCCTTGTTTTCCTGATGTTGCTTTATAACCACAGGAGGTTCACAACATGCATGTGAGTAGAGAATGTTGTTGACATAAGTGCTGTTTTTTCTGGATATACACAAACATAATGAAAATAATTTGCACAGCCGTGTTTTATTACCGAGTCTGGAGGGGGATGGCCCTGCCCTCACTGCTCAGCTCAAGCCCTGAAGCTGGTTTGATGACAGCCCTATTCCCTCATCCCCACTATCACTGTGGTGGCTTAACCCCAGCAGAAGGGCTGGGACTCTCCTTCCTCCTCTGACTTGAGAATATTTCCATTATTTTTATAAATCCCAGCTACACATGAAAACTACACACCGTAATCTCCTGCCTTCCTATAGCGTGTCTAACCAACGTGCCATGTCATACACAAGGGTGACTGTTAAAATAAGCCTTTAATATTGTAATTTAAAAGTTTGGTATTTTATTGGCTGGAACCTTTAACTACTGGCTGTTTATTTTTTAATAAAGTATAAGCCCAGTTTGCACGCGGATGATTATTTCTCATACCAGCAGCAGGAGTTCAGCAGGAAGCTTGTCAACAAACTGGGTAAGGGAGAGGCTGGCACTGGACTTCACAGGCTGGGAACATTGTGTCACACTTCTCTGCAGCTACATCTTTACCCTGCAGGTACCTGTACGCTGCCAAAAGCAGTTAAAATAGTTTATTGCAGGGTAATTTACAAGGATGATCTCAAAACTCATTTCTCATTTTGTGAAAGCGTGAGGAGTTAAAGGCTGGTGGTCAGGCTGCGGCCAGCTGACAGCAGCCAGAGAAAGCACCAGAGAACCAGCTGCTGACTCTGACTTCATTCCACAAGTCCAAACGGGACTATGAATTGTTGCTGAAACGGAGGAACACAATTAAACATATTCAGTTCTTTCCAAAAACAAGCAAACAGGCAGCAGGGCCGGCGAGGGAAGATGGTGATCTTGTTGTAGGCCTGTACTCGCTCAAAATGAGCTGCAGAAAGGAGGTTTGTGCTGTGTTCCTTTTATCTGCACAGCACGGAGATGGAATAAACAATCCTATCATTAGAAGGAAAAAAAGTTAGGATTACATTCAAACTTACCCCCCAAAACCAGAAATGTATTGTGCCTGGGGGAATTAACCTTTGTATTTTCACAGAAAAAGGTACCTTGTAAAGCAAACGAATGCCATTTAAAAGCAGCTCTATCACCTGCATAAGGTATTTCCTCCCATTTATCAACCATTTGACATGCATGAACTGTTAGAATCGGTTACAGATTAATTATGAAATCAAAAAAATACTCTTAATCATAACAATTAGCCACAAGTTTAATGGAAGAAGTGTTTAGAACTTGGCCACAATGTTCAAAAGCAAGGATAGAATGGGCATTTAAACTGCATTCTCAATTTTAAACTTATTGAGTATCCAAATTATCTGAGATTGTTGCCCTTATCTAGTTCTTTCCTCATTTTTCTACTCTTGGGCCCTCAAAAAAGTAGTTTCTGTAGCCCAGCTGGTTGTACACAAGATTTGTTCCAACTTGTGCAGCAAATCCAGCTTGTATTTTTGGAACTCTGGGGAAAAGCCTGGTGTCAGACCTACACCTAAGCCTTTGTTGAATGTGTATTTCTAGAAAACAGATGCTCCTGCCCCCGGAGCCAGCACAGCCCCACCCTGGGCATTCCCCTTCCCAGCACGTGATCGTGTACCATTGCCTGATTTTATATTCTCAACAGTCAAAATCCAACTTTACAAAAAGATTTTATTGAAAGGATTGAAAAATATTTGTTTTCAACAATATTTAAAACAAGTTTTCAAAGCATTAACAGTAATGTAACATGATTTTTTCCTCTTTTAAAAATTCAGTACACTGCTTTAGTCCGGACTACATCAGTTGTTAATAACTTCTTAAACTCTCTACTAGAGAATAACTTTTTTTTTTAAATAAAAAAACCACAAATTAATTTCCAAGCTTCCATTTTGGCCCTTTGTAGACTGGAAAGGATTTGTAGGTACTTTTACAAACCCTTATATTAGAAACACTGCTCTTAATCAGGAAAACCCTATTTTAGTAGTAGTTTAAACAAGTTACTCTGAGTAAGCTACATCTGCAAAAGGAGCTTCGATGGCCAAGATCTCCACGTCTCACTCAGCTCTTTGCCCAGCTGTGCTTTGAGCAGAAGTGACCCACACGTTAAGCAGTTAAATCCACCCAACTCCACGCTGTTCAAACCTCCCCAACCTGCCCACAAATGGCTGCTTTGCAGAGAAAAGGCCTTGAAAAGGGACTTTGTCCAATCGGATAAATCCGTAACGTATTAACGCGGTTTGGGTTGCGTTTTGGTAGAAAGCAGCTGGCACAGGGAGAATCAACACAGCTTCTTGAAGAAAAAGCCAAGAGTGAAGTCGTCAGGTTGAGTTCCTGGCCGTCAGTGAGGGCAGCTCCCCCCAGGCCCCACCACTGAACCCCACCAGGAACAGCTGTAGGAGCAGCCCCAAAGCCCACGGAGCCATCACTGCCCCCGATCCATCTACAGACAACTCCTAATCTAGATCTAGTCTAGAGAAAGTAAGTTAGGCAAGTTTTGATTACAGATCTCAGGAACTACGCACTCTGAAAATTAAAGTTCGGCGCTTTAGCCAATAATAGATTTACTATTATAAAAAAGCATAAATAAAAAGTGCTGAATATAGTTTTATCTTTAAAAAAATACTAGATAAGGCTCATTAATCATTTCGCCTCACCTCCGCAAAATGATTTCCACTTCCTAGCGTGCCACTCAACAATCCATTTACAGACCCACTAGACCCTGTTCCTTTCCTCAATTATTGCATGTTTAAATAAAATACTTTCAAAGCAAAAAGTCCGACACTCCTATAGATCAAAAAGTAAACAGTTATTAAATAACTGAATACTCCCACCTAGGAAACCCGTAAGCAGCTTCAAAACAGTGATAAAACAATTACCGCAGATTCAAGTGAAAGATAAATCCCAAAAGCTATCTGGATATTCTCCAAGATATCACAAAATTTGTCTATTTAGACCAAATCAAACCAATACTCTATTTTACAAGATTTACAAATGTAGTATTAATTTATATTAACATATTTTCATTGTGGTTTGTATCATTAACCAAGAGTTTGCGTCTCTCTTATGGAAAAGTGCTCTCATCTGGATTGAACAAAATGAGACAGACTGGGGCACAGGCAGGGTTTGGAAATTAATCCATTTCCCATTCCCACTTTGGACCACATAAACTACATCAGACAAGCATGAAAAGTTCAACAGAGCTTCTCTCTCCACCTCCAAGGAAATCCCACCTCCATCAGTAAAATCATTCCTCCACGATATTATGCCATAGGCTGAAATCTAACAGATAAATGTCCATTCCGTTAATGACCAATGCAGCAAGACTCTGAAAATGCTGAAGTTTGGATAATATGCTGATGAGACTGCACCACAGAGAACATAAATGTAAACATTATACTTGGGTTTGATATTTTTCAGTTAAAGTACAGTACAAACCCTTTTTTTTCCCAACTAGGATTTTTTTTTTGTTGGTTTTTGTTTTTCTTTCATAAAAGCACATACAATAAAATATGTACATAGAGAAGTTAGAAACATTTGAAAGCGTCTTAAAAAAAGTAAATAGGAGAGTTAGAGTATCTTGAGTGTGCTGAAGGCACCGTTGCTGCTCTGCTGGGAATGTCTCCTGGTTTGGCAGCACCGAGAGCTGGGAGGTACCTGTGGAAGCTGAGGGGCTCAGGGGCTGCTCTCTCAGAGGGGACTCCCCTACGTCAAGACACTAGTGGAACTAGACAAAAGAGTAGTAATTGAAGTCTAGATTCTTCTTGAACATTTGGAGAATTACTTTTTTTTTTTTTAACTTTACAGTCTCTAATGCAACCATTTATTCCGGAAAGCCAAGGTGTTATTGATTCCCACCACCAGGAAACTGGAGCTACAAACCAGCTCAGCTACAAAACTGGAGATCCCTCTAATAACACCCTCAGCCCAGGTGAAAGCTCATCCTACTCTTTGTGGGTGCAAAACTGGAGATCCCTCTAATAACACCCTCGTCCTGCTCTCTGTGGGTATTTACACAGTGGTGACAGCCAAGGGTCAAACACTGTTCAAAGGGATGTTAAGAGAGACACGTGTATATAAAAAATGATATATACTTTTTTTTACTAGTTCCATCTATTCATAAAAACATTCTTCAGGGGTGTTTCTTCAGGGTGTGTCACACTCACAAGGAGAAAATATTTTAAGCGCTGCCTTGATGGGGAGCTGTTCTGAGCAAGACGTATTTAAGCTAACAAAGAGGAGCTTTTGTTTTTTAAGAAAATTTCTCAGAGCCTTTATGTGCATAGCAGTCTCCAATGGAATTATAAATATATCAAATTAAACAGACTGTTGCAATGCCACTTTTCTATTAGGTATCTACATTCAGCCTACCACGTTATTGGTAAGTTAGAGGTTACAATCAAATCTACAGATGCGGTTGTCACTACCAATCGGAAATAGCCCATTTTCAGATTGCTCATTTAAAGGAAATTCAAATTGGATTCCAACCATCAGAGCCTAATTTCTTCCATTCCTACTCTTGGTGGACAGGAAGTAGCACAATAATCTCCAGCCATCAGCAGATCAGACAGATACAACCACTGTGACCACACTCATTAGCCAAAAACTGAAAAGCCCAGGCCTATAGAAGGGACACTGCCCCTTTCCATTCCCACGAGTCTTGGTAGACGTAGACACTCAAAATTCTTCTTCTTCAACAGCAAAGTTATTTTGCTTCTTCCGAACATTCCAGTGTAAACACTCGGCCAAGCTTTCGAACCAGTCGCTCACAGGATCTCGGAAACAGATCGAAGGAAGGGGGTAGCAAGAGGTAGTGATGCTAATACTGCAACAACACAGGAATAGCCCAGGTCAGTCAAAGGCAATAAACAGTCATTTTGAAAGAAAAATAACCTTCTCTTCACTAGCTGCCATCGTGCTACGTTCAGCCTCTTTGGTAAAACAGGGAGTTTCCGTAATGAAGCACTAACCAAGCCTGAAGGCTCATCTCAACAGAGCAAACCCAGTCTTTGGCTGCTCCTCACATCAACACCACGGGGACAAAGGAGAAGGGAAGTCACCACCTTGGCCTTGGAGTTTCAAGTTTTAACTGTAAGGGCCAGCACGAAGAAGTCTGGCATCTACCGAAGGACCAGGTCCCATGGTTAAATCCTTGCTACTCTCCTGGTCTGTTCCACAGATCTCTCAGCCTTGGAGAGAACACAAACCATTCCAGATGGACTCACACCAGACATCTTCCTTCCTGGTAACTTGGACCATAAGCATAAGCCACCAGGTTTTGCAATTAAAACTTCACCCAGAGCTCTGCTCCCTCCAGGCAGCAGCACTGCAAGTGACCACAACCCATCACTAATTAACAGAGCTCACACCGTGTGATGTTACTCAGGGGCGCTGCTGATGTTGGTTCTGCATGGCACCGTGTGATGTTACTCAGGGGCGCTGCTGACATGTTGGTTCTGCATGATCTCTTGGTTCACAGCTTCCCAAACTAAGATTTATCTTTAAGTTAAATTTACAGAGTTTTCTAAAGACATGTCCATCTTCCTTGCCAACTCTTGGTTCACAGCTTCCCAAACTAAGATTTATATTTAAGTCAAATTTACAGAGTTTTCTAAAGACACGTCCATCTTCCTTGCCAAGCTCACAATGTGTACGTGTCTTAACACTTCACTTGCTTTTGTAGGAAGATCTAAAAAACTCAAGTTAGAAATTAAAAACTTCCAGTGCAGTTTGTGCTGTAAGAGGAGTTAGGGTTTATAAAAGCTTGTTTCTCCCCTGCCAGCAACCCTTTTGGCAGATGTTAGAGAGTGAGAGAAGTGAAGCTCACAATGTGTACGTGTCTTAACACTTGTCTTAACACTTCACTTGCTTTCGTAGGAAGATCTAAAAAACTCAAGTTAGAAATTAAAAACTTCCAGTGCAGTTTGTGCTGTAAGAGGAGTTAGGGTTTATAAAAGCTTGTTTCTCCCCTGCCAGCAACCCTTTTGGCAGATGTTAGAGAGTGAGAGAAGTGCATGAATTAGTATTCTCTATACTTAGAGAGAGATGCTACAATCAAAAAAAAACCAGGCTTGACCTGTCTCCATGGCATATTTCCTGCCTCTTCCTTCCATCAAAGGAAACCCATGCTGTATTCCTGGCATCCGGGGAGAGCATAATCTGAAAAAGAGAAAAGGACTTAAACTTCAGGTCCAAAACCTATTTTTCAAGCGTGAGGAACAAACACCTCCTCCATTCTCCCTCTGAGTGCAGAATCCACTCTTTGCAACTTCCCAACTGCACTGAAACTCGTAAGGTGTCCCCATCAAAAAAAAACCAGGCTTGACCTGTCTCCATGGCATATTTCCTGCCTCTTCCTTCCATCAAAGGAAACCCATGCTGTATTCCTGGCATCCGGGGAGAGCATAATCTGAAAAAGAGAAAAGGACTTAAACTTCAGGTCCAAAACCTATTTTTCAAGCGTGAGGAACAAACACCTCCTCCATTCTCCCTCTGAGTGCAGAATCCACTCTTTGCAACTTCCCAACTGCACTGAAACTCGTAAGGTGTCCCCAATGACAGCGCAGAGCCCTGCTGAAGGTACGAGCTCTCTCCCAGCTGGAGGAGACCAGGGGCTCGTAACAGACACAGAAGCAGGAAGGGGCTCTTCCTCACACACGGGTATTTGTTAAAAACACACAGGAACTAAGTCTGGTTTATATCCAGGTGTTACAGGTTATTTTTTCTGCAACACAGCATTAACAAAAAATACTTAGTGGATTTCAGGTAACTACCAATATAGTGAAAATTTGCAGCCTTTGTTTTAACAAAAAATACTTAGTGGATTTCAGGTAACCACCAATATAGTGAAAATTTGCAGCATTTATTGTTTTAGCCATGAAAGTAGAATTATTCATTCCCTTAACCTCCGCTGATATACATCCACTTGAGCAGAAGTTACATAAAATTTTTAGTTAGAATGCAAAGGTATGTATTCCCATTTTACAGAAGGTTACACAACTGCAATCCACAGGAAGCAGCGTGAAGTGTTCCGTTAGTGGGTATATTATTTTAAACAAAGATACATTCTTCAACCAGATTTGATCTGGTCCTCCTCCAAATGAAAGAATGCAGGAGACACACAGCATTTCCTCACCTCTTCTGCTCCGGCCAATTTCACAGGGTTATTACAGAAGTTTTTAAAGAGAAATAAGGTAAGAGAATCTCACCTTGAGTTCCACTCCAGCAGGGACAACAATGGGTCTGAAAGACAAGGAGTGAGGGCAGATGGGGGTGATCATTATTGCAGGAACGTTGGGGTGAATCATGGAAGCTCCTGCTGCGGCTGCGTATGCGGTGCTACCGGTCGGCGTGGAGACAATGACTCCTGGGAAAGCAGCACAAATTTCCCTGGCATTAGCATTACAATGGAGGTGTTATTTTGGAAGACGACAAAGAAATCGCACTGTTATGAAAATGAAGCAGAGAATGTATCAACTTGTATTTCACAGGAGAATTGCAATCTAACACACAAAAGACAGCAGCTCTTTGCTAATCCTGGCACAGCCCGTTTGTTCTGTGGCTTCACGTCAGTTGCATAAACTTCTAGATCCCGGGTTACACAACTCTGACAGTGACATTCCCTTTTTTCATCTTTAAAGATGAACTTCTGTATTTCCTGAGTTGAGATCTCAGGCCTTCGGCAAACTCCAGATAGCCAAGCAATTTTTTTTCTGAGCTATTTCTTGCCCTTAGTCCTAACATACCACACACAGAGGCACTGCCACCACTTGCCTCCACAAGCCCTTAAAAAAAGCTTACAACACTCTAAGGCATCAGTTACCAGTGAATAAACACACCTATTCTTTGCACACCAACGTCTTCTTCACAAGTCAACTGAAGCTTGAGGTTTTGTTTCCATGTGAGATAATCCTTCAGTAAAATAGCAACACTCTACACGCGACCTGAGACCAACGGAACGCGCGGAGCAGACTCACCATCTCCTTGCACAGTTGTTATCAGGTGCCCGTTGAGAAAGACATCTACGTTGGACAGGTAAGACGAAGGACCACGATCCACCACAACTTCATTTAGGACCTGCCACGACACCAAATATTACAGCAGCCCGCTCTCGCTGACTTGGCAATAATGTAATAAATGACAAGCCCAAAAGCACTTTCCAGATCTTTGAAAAATTCACACTTATTTACTACCTGCCAAATGAGACTCTCTTTACATCTCTGTTATCAAGTGCCAGCTGAAGTTCTTAGATGTTATTTCCAGAAGCTGGTTACTAACAGTGTGCAGGGGTTTTCACTTATAAAAATCTTTAGGATATCCCATTTTAGAACTACTGCTTTGTTTTCAAATAAGAATGAAAATACTGCTATAGGAAAGTACAGTATTTATTAGCACTTATGACTGCAGAAAGTAATGATGTGCACCACTTCCTCATTAATTAGTGCATGTATTGTAAATTAGAGCAATACAGATCAGACCCACACCACTGGGCTAACGGAAAGAAACTAATGGAAAGGGGAAAATTATAATAAAGTAAATACAATTCAATTTACAAGCAGCACATTAGGTCTTTTGCTTATTTTCACCTCTGACCTGATATTGCATAATTTGCTTGCCCATTTCTTTCTCGAGGTTTGCAGACACTACCCCGTTTTCTTCTATTCCGTTCTGGACTGTCATTTTCTCTCTGTGCTCTTTTACTACTTTCACTTTCAGTCTGCTTCGCAGAACAAGTGCTGCATTGCCTAGAAGTGAAATACAGGAGAAAGTACACAAAAACGATATGCTGGTATAATAAATACATACTCCTGTCACCACTAGCACACTGTACCATCCCCAACTGCACCCACAAGAGAACTGTCTACACTTGGTTAAAGCTCAAAACTGATTTTTAGTAGTAATGAGCAAAACGAAAGTCAAATTTAAACCCAATCCTTCCTCCCTTCACTCATCATGTAAAAAGAACATTTCAGTTTTCTATGGCCATGATCAAGACTGGAAAACTCTGCTGGGCCTGTGGGATCTTCACTAAGGCAAAAGCTAAGCTTAAAGAAAATTAGTGCATTAGAAACACCTACTGGAAGACAACATTATTCAATGTGATCATTTTATCCATCTTTTCAGGAATCTACTTTGGATGCAACCCAAGTTGCTTCATATTGAAGAAACAAGGTATTTCTTCCCTCAAATCTTTTATTTGCCTGACTTCTCCGTATTTAAGCGCTGCTTGGAGAAGCAGAATAGCACAGGCTTCAGAGCTATTTGTATGTTTAGCTGGCAGTTAACAGCTAACATTTCAGTTCTGCATCATCTCTTACTTGTTTACTCCACACAGGACAAAGTTATTTCTTAGCTGTTTTCCTCGACAGAGCAGGACAGAAACCAGCTCTGAAGGGCTCAATGCAACGCAACACATTCGTTAGTTTATTATACATTTCTTTTGACTCAATCTTACAGGACAACCTCAAGGAGTTGGTTAAGAAAATGCACTAGTCTTGGGAAAAGCTACAGAAAATGTAACAAAGAGAAACACCACACCTCGTCCCCTTAAATTTACCTTCTATAACCTGAGTGACTTGGGACTGAAAATTCTCAAAATTAAATGGAGTAAGAAATCCAAGGGATCCCAGATGAAAAGCCATAACTGGAGGTACACTACCCTATCAATAAAGAAAAAAATTTAAAAGCTACTGAATAAAAGCAATTAATACTTCAACTAATTGCCTGTAAGTATTTTGACTATTGATGTAACTGTACATAACAAAACCAACACATTGCATACATTATTTTCAGAAGGTATATGGTAAAACAGGCTTGATAAAAACCAGAATGAACAGCAAAGGACAAATGTCCAACTCAATAACAAAGAAAAAACAAACAACCTCCAAATACTTCAAAAAGAAAAGAGCTTTTTAAGTCTATTTCCCATAAAGACCAACCTGGAAAAGTGAAGAAGCATAAAGTAAGGTCCCGTCTCCTCCCAGGCATATGATAAAGTCAATCTGATTGGAGATATCATCATAATCTGGAAGCAACATTGAAATACAAGTCTTGCATTAAGTTTTATCAACAGCCTTCATTTCCTAACATAAATGAAGCGCAGCATGCCAACATCGACTCACAGACATAAAAACCCCACAACTTTCTGCAAAAGACACATCAGTTTAACAAACTTGACCCAATGACTAAGAAATTACCGAGACAAATAATCACGATACTTTGATTTTACTTTCAAGAAGCCCTTACCATACCTTCTCTGAAGGTGCAAAATTTCTTCTTCACTGGTCCAAAATTATCATCGTTAGCTATAGCGGGGTCTTCCAATACTTTTTTTTCTACATACACTATCATATTGTTCTCCTAGAGAGAGGTAAGACAAGCGTGTTAACAACCTCTTCCAATGACAAAATATTTGACTTTCCCCGTAATTTTTCCATCAGTTTAAAACATAAATAACACTTTATAGAAATAATCTGCATCTGGCACTTTTGGGGTTTATTTTTATTGTGTGGTCTAACATTCATGAGACTTTTGCAGCACGCACAGACTGTCTAATAAATTAAACTCAGCTTTGGAACGCAGATTACATGAGACAGATACATCGCTGTGTTTGTTCAAGGCTTAAAGGATTAAGCTTTTTATATCCCATTCCCTGTAATTTAGAACTGCAAACAGAAGGAAGGAAAGTTTTTACTTTACTTTTTTAAAGCTCCGTACTTCAACTATTTAGGTATCGATCTTAAGCTCTGAAACAAATTTTACTACTTCCAGCAGCAACGGGTATAAATTTCTTTACGTTCCACATTCAACAGAGTCAATCAATGAGAACAGGTTAGATGTAAAACTACTTATGGCAAAAAAGGGAATTTACATTTCATTACCTCAGTGAGATACACACAAAGCTCTTTAAAGGGCTGCAGCAGACTGGCATCACGGATCTTTTTAATAACAAGGACGCTCTTGGGAGGTTTGTTCCATGTCAACCGCTGGCTCGCTGGGTCCTGAATGTGCCTAGAGGAGAGGGGAAAAGACACCGTTACTCCACTGTGCTTTGAGAACATTCTGGCCTGTTAAGAACATACCCTTGTGTATAATTACACTCAGTCCCTAGAGCAACAGAAAGAAGGATGTGACAGTTCGTATCATAGTGATGCTCTTCCCCCATGACACCAATCAGTGTTTCAGTGTATTAAGATGGCAGAGCAGTATTAAGGTGGCTGTTCTTGTAGCTGCTGCCACGACGTGTGCGAACAGGGACGTCACAGAACCCCTACAAAAGCTCTTGGATCAAGTTCTAGAACTAACTGACATCCTCCCTGCTGCTTCTGGCCATAAAGCCTTCCCCTGTCTTCTCCTAGGGCTCTCTCCTCTAAAGCTGACTCAAAATAAGGAGAAACATCCAACTAGAGAATTAGAAAATGCCACACAATTTTTTTTTCCAATCCAATACTTGAAGTCAAACAGCTTGTCAATGTCAATTTAAAAAATAGTGCAATAGTTCCAACCCAAATATTCTTTTTTTTCTTTTAATAATGTTTCCTTCAGCACTTTTTCACTGAAGCCTGTACACACGGTTTTCCCAATACAGTTTGAAGCCTGTAGATGCAGCCATGAATTCTACAGTTCTTCTACTAATGCTAAACAACACTACCACAAGAGAAGGACAAATAATTAAGATTCACATGCTCATCTGTACTAAATCCTCAAGATAATCCTAACAACTATGAAAAAACTGCAGTACATGAACTCTATTCTGGGAAGGCTGCACTCGTAACTCTTATTAAAGCCTCGTAAATAAAGAGCTTAAACAGGAAGAGGTGCCTATACCCTTCTGTTCCAGGCAGCACAACTACTACTTTAAATTAAAAAAAAACCTCTACCTTAAAAAAGTATTTTAAAACTACTGTCTGCCTATTGTCAGGACAGCATTTCAAGACTTGAGAACCTCAAGAATTAAATATATGTACACAAACAATTTTGCAGCTCTCATGAGTGTTCAGTAACAGAACGTCTATTTAGTCGATTTAGGAATACCCAGCTGTATTTTGCTTCTTTTGTATCTACTTCTAAACTTCCTAATTTCCCCGCTGTAATTTGCATATACCAAGCATCTCATGCTTTTCCATATGGTGCACATATAATCTGCAAAGCAAAGCAGATTAGCATAAATGCTGAACAAGCCAAACTTACAAAGAGATTTGGATTTAGAGCTTCAAGGGTTAAAATAAAACAGATGCTGCTGCTGGAGGTGGAATAACCTGTTCATCTTACTTTCCAAAATGCCTATATCCTACATATAAACACAGCAAAATCTACAGATTAATAAAGCAGTCTAATAGCAGTAATGTTTACTAACAAACAGTGCAGTCTGTCTCTAAACACTGCTCCAAAGCACAGAACCCCAATGTGCTGTTACACTCAGTGCCATGCACAGGCTTCCAACATCACCTTATGGCTCATCTGGTTCAACTCATCATTTTACAGCCCTGAAATCATGGAGCAGGGAAGACGAAAGGCACCTCTGGAGAGAGCCAAGTCCAAGCCCCTGGCACAGGGTAAAGGCCTTCTGAAGATCCCTTTCTTGGTCTCAAAATATCACCATGAATCTGAGAAGATTATGAATTTGGAAAGCTTCCTCTGACTTGACCAACCAACCACTAGCTAAACTGAAAATAAAGTAAATAAACCAGAAGGAGTTGCATTTCTGTGTTTATTGCTGCCCAGGAGTTGCAAGGGAGCTGAAGCTGCAGTTTTATATGCTAGTTCCAATACAAATGGTGATTAAAATTAAATTCCTCAGATCTCAATACTGTTAAAAGGAAAAAAAAAACCATGTAGAGAAACCACCCCAAAACCATTCCAAGATGATCAGACTCTTCTAAAGGCAGCAAAGAATTAAAGGCTGAAGCACTGCTTTTCACTTAAATAAAGCTACAACTAACAGATCTCACTCAACCAAAAGCCAGTCCGTCTGTTCCAGCTGTACTCACCAGTTCCACGCCGGTCTATTAAATGAAAGATTATTCACAACATGCTTTAAGATCTTCATGGTTCTTCCCAGGGGTCAAGCAAGTGCAACAGCTCCAAGAAAAATGGCTGAGGCTTTTATCACTTATTAATAACTTGCTATCTCAAAAGAAAACATTTTTCTCTGAATTTTTTTATTCCCCCCGTTAAGTATTTCAGTCAGTCTCAATAAAAAGTCATGAGGCTTTCAGAAAAATCCTGCAGAAAATGTTTGTTAGAGATCTCCAGAGGCAAGATTTCATAAGAAAAATCCCATTTCAAGTTCAAAAACAGGTATTTGACCTCCCTTCTCCTCAAAACACAAGCACCTGTTTCTTTTTTCACTGAAGTCACTCAGTTCCTCTGCTCATCTGACCTAAAGCAGGTTTTTCTACGCAATCACCAACACTGAGACATCAAGACCTTCTCTAACTTCTGCCTGTACATAAAACCTAAAATTTTCTGTTAAGAAACACTCTCCAGTGAAGAGAGTTTAACCATATTAGTGACCGTAGAGAAGAAAAACCCAAACAAAAAAGGTTTTGCTCTGTTCTTTAAAAGCCACAGCCAAAGCCTTACATAGAGTAAGAACAGTCATTTACAATCTGGCCTTCAAACAGTCCTTTCCTTCAGTGACCCGAGAGCACCTTTACTCCCCAGCTCGTTGGAACACGGCACAAGCAGACTTTTCCCCGGGAAGCGGCGTGTGCTGCGCGGTGCCTGCAGCCTGATCCTGACAGGATCCTCTGATCCTGACACCCTCCTTATATCCTACCAGCCCGGCCAGCCCCTGGGGTGGAGCGTGTTCCTGCCCAGGTGGGTAAACACCAGTGGCTGGGCACTTCAGGAGCTGCCACTCTCCAGGCTCCAACTCCAGCCCGGGCAGGAAGAATGAGGAAGTTCAGAGTTACTCTACACTGCAAGATTCCCACCACACCTTCCCAGGAAAAGTTTGGATGCAGCCAACCTGCTCTCAGGAACATTGCTAGTCCTCGAGCAAAGATTCAGGGAAATAAATACTTAAATACCTTTAACTGAAAGAGCAATGGAATAAAATGTTTTAAAAGGAGAAAAACAGGGACCACTCACTTGGTGGTCTGAAAAACCCTGATATTCCTCGTTTGACCACAGACAACATTTATTAAGTATATAATACATAGTGTAAAAAAAAAAACAACTTTCATAGCACCCAACCTATAAAAGGAAAATCTTTATATGCCTGTTGACCAGAAACCAACACATTAAATTTATCAGCAGAGTCTAAAAGCAAACTTGCCTTAATGATATTCATACACTGAAAGTTCCATAGATCAAATACGGAAATTCAAACTTCCTACTCAAGGTTCATACACTGAAAGTTCCATAGATCAAATAAGGAAATTCAAACTAACTACTCAAATGCACAGCACCAAGAGAGGGAGAAGGCTTCCCTCAGGTTTCACAGAACAATTTATCCTTCTCTCCTTGTGTTGTCCAGACAAATTTGTGTTCCTCTATCATTCAGAAAGACCATTCTTCATGTATTTCAAGTTGGTGGAATAAACAAAGCGCTACCAGTAGCTGCTCCGTATTAGTTTGCAATCAGGGTGTTTAATACACAGGGAGTTTACTGCCCATTATGTTGGAAACTGTTTATTATAGTTGCCATTGTTGACATCAAACCAGGGATTACAGATTATGCAAAACATGTCTAAACAAAACTTCAGTACTTAATACCATTCACATGCCCTGCTGCATTTTTATGTGAAATGGTTCTGTTTTTCTTCCAAAATGGATATACTGACCTGTGAAAAACCTAGTAGCTAGTGGGCCTAAGAACACCACGTGAATCAGTAATGTAAAACTACTAAAATGAACTCCTTTTATGTTTATTACCCTGCAGGAAGTATTCCAACCAACAAAGCCACTACAAATTCACACCAAAAAGTACCGATTATGTCCTATCGTACCTTGGGAGTGTGAAATGGTTCTGTTTTTCTTCCAAAATGCCTATACTGACCTGTGAAAAACCTAGTAGATAGTGGGCCTAAGAACACCACATGAATCAGTAATGTAAAACTACTAAAATTAACTTCCTTTTATGTTTGTTACCCTGCAGGAAGTATTCCAACCAGCAAAGCCACTACAAATTCACACTGAAAAGCACCGATTATGTCCTAACATACCTTGGGAGAAAAAAACCCAATGACATTCAAACCCATATTATACTTTCCAACACCCAGCTCACGCTCACACACAGAGTGGGGTTTCAGCTGAGAACGCAGCAAATACAGCCCGTTCTCCTCCCAGACTGACTTTTTAACTGGTCAAGGTGTGATAAAAACAGCAGGGCAATTTTGGCAAGGCAGACCCCCCAGACTGGCAATCGAGCAACATGAAAAACTCTGAATATAAGGGAAAATACAAACAATGCTGATGTGGGGGTGAATGGTAGAAAAGCAAACATCTTCCACACAGAATAAAATAATCCCCTTCAGTTGACGAGTACTTACATAATCGTTTTAGGATTTTGCAGCATACAGGCCTTTGGTCCAAATGTGGTCACTGGGCATGGTCCGTGCAAGGAGCGTGTTCTCCTAGAGATATAGATAGAAAAATAAACAGTAAGAAAAAGAAATGTGATGACAAACCGGGTATAATTAGCTCCCCAACCACCAAAACCACTTCACTGAAAAATCTGCACTAGGCAATACTGGGTGAAGTACATTTCTTAAACGTACACTTGTGGTTGACCAGCCAACGTGGTTTTACACGAATTACCTATCACATCTCAAATCTAAAACTTAACTCCTGTACTTCTCCTTTCAATCAGAGCCTTGCTGGCAGTTTATCTCCTTTACATACTGAGTAATCACTTCCTAAATCATTAGTACCAGGCACATAGTCTTCTTGTATTCATTTCATCTTCACTTTGCACAAAGGAAGCCTCACAGCCTCAAAGACGAGGTGGTCAAGTTTACTCAGGTCAGTTCTGTGAATTTCCAGGGTGGCTACAAAGCAGGAGACTCCCTTTGCACAAGGGGTCCCATGGAAAAGACGTGGGGTGATGGTTTGAGTTACCCCAGGGGAGATTCCAATTGGACACGAGGAAAATCTTCCACAGTGAGATCAGTCAGTTACTGGAAAATTCTCCCCAGGGGACACTTCTAAGACTCAGCTGGAGGTGGTGCAGTGCCATCTCAGCCAGAGCAGGCTTTTGCCAAGAAAGGTTGGATTTAATAAATTCATAAAATGCAAATCCTTCGATTGTAATATCTGTGGAGGTATCTCTCTGCAGCACCAGGCCTTAGGTCACCTCATTACATACCAGGTTAGGGCTCCTTAGTTTTTCAGTCTGTTTCCCCCCACCTCCAGCACCCACATTTGTCTTTTAGAGATTACTTGCAAAACAGTTCCCTTTTCTTTCCACCACTCATAAACAAAGAGAATCCAGGATTTTGACTTTGCTGTTTAAGCAGAACTCTTACTAACCAAAACCATTTTTTTCTAGGCATTAAGGTAATACAGAAATTGACAAACAAGGAATCACTATTGACTGAAATTACTGAAGACTGAAAAATGTCTGTGCTTTTACTGCTGAGAAAGGCTGGGGTAATAATTCAGTCATTTAAGAAGAGGAGTACCCATTAGGTAATTTAATCTCTGTGAAAATGCATAAAAGACATCCCAGGCTGAGATTAAGGCAGGTAGAGACAACCAAGAGGCAGAAAAAATGCTGTTTGAATAGATATGAAAAAGAATACTGTTTTTTTTTTCATTTATTTATCTAATAAGAGCTAATATGCTCTTTGTCTTCAAACAAACAGGTGCTCTGAAAAGTAATTTATCCTCAAACTTAAATCCCACCCAGGACAGGATTACTCCCAGCTCTAGGATGAGATTATCTGGACCAAGTCAGAACCGTTCTGTCTCCTCCTTCCCTCCCACCTCCTCCAGCAAATCTGCAAATGGGAGTAAAATTTACCCCAGTTACGTAACTCTTGAAACATTATGTAAATGCCATTAGAATTAGTCCATTAAAAAGAACGGGAAATATGCCTTTCCTGTGCTTAATTCAATCAACACAGGAACTGGTAACTAATTTGTTACTGCCAAGCAATAGATCATTACTGCGCTGCCTCCTATTGTGGCTATTATAAAGTAGCTCAGACCAGCCCGATGATTCACTCTTAATACTCAAAAAAACCTCAGAAATCTAATAAAAATCAAAACCAGATGGCGGGTTAAAAAAATACAATTAAGGAATAACAGCAACATCTTATTTATTCCACGTCTAAGAAAATAGGCTTGTGTAAGATCTCAGTTCCAATTATGAAAATGAGTATTTGATTTCCTACATTGAACACACAGAAATGGTATTTGTTTTTCAAACATTTTTTTTCCATTTGTAAGTCCAGGCACGACTAACCCAGTCAGATAAGATTATTACTAAGTGTTTTATGAAGTTTACCTTATTTATATTAAAACAACAAAACGAGCAAGGACTGACTAATTAGAGATTGTGTGCGTGCACCGATACGTGTTAAGAAATGATAACTCTCTATCCACTTGTGAACAATTACACTCGATATTGGGGCAGTTAAATCCCACCCTGGCAACATCACCTCTGCTTCTTCCCATCCACAGCTCACCTTCACAACATTCAAACAAAGTTTTCTCTGCAAGCTCTAATTCATAATTGATATACATTTTTGTTAAGATTTGACCTGGTTTTATTAGTACTCAATCTAGGCACTGTTCAATCAAAAGAAGGTAAAATGTTTGAGTGAACAGAATTTCAAGGAAATGCAATGCAAGGGAAATTACATATATTTTAGGAAAATATACTTGCTAGCTGAAAGCAGATGGGCAACTACTTCAATCTGAATTACCATAGAGCAAGCCTGAGATCACTTTCTGACATTCCCAAAAATGCCTTGGGACAATTTTGCACTAAATTGAAGACAGACAGTGAATGAATGCAAAGAATCTTGATGAAAAGAAAAATATCTTGCAAACAATGACCCTAATTCAAACCCACAATGGGCAGGGTCTACAAAAATCACTTCTAGTTTGAAAAAGAAAAAGCAATTATTTAGCTAGAAGTTAATAATACACAAAAATTTGGACCACATGGTCTTTCACACAAGCTGATTGAAATCTATATTCTTAAGGTTTAAGGGGAGAAGGAAAAAGCCACCAGTTTTACAGCATGGTTTTTACATAAGGTCTTAGGTGTTGACTATGACACACCACCCAGCAGCTGGAAGAGCACCGGCAGAGAGCAGCCCTCTGAACATTTTCCAAAAGCATTAAAGTACGCTGACTTTCTGAACTAAATATGCAAAGCAAGTATTTTCCTAACCTTTTAGCCTCTTCAGATAAAGGCTTTAATTATCCTTCCCGTCACCATAAAGCTTCCCCCTGCCATCTTCAGCCTCGTGAGAGCGTTCCTACCAGCAAAGCAGGGACTGGACCAGAATTTCAGCTGCTGAGAAACTCCTCCGTGAGTCTGTCTGTGCTCTTACAGAGGGTCACAACGTCAAAAAGCACGTCCTGCTACGCTTCCCCCAAGTTCAAGACCCACTGCTACCGCAGCACGCTCTTCGCTATTGACAGTGGGTCCAAAGATCACAAAATCAGAAGTCCTGTCCAGGCTGTCCACATGACAAGAGCATTGCAACTAGATTACAAATTTGGCTCCAAGGAAAAATGGGCGTTTCTCCCTGCTGTGAAACCATCGGCGAGC